GAAATACGATAGTGAAAAGGATCATATCAGAATTAACATGTGCAATTACCCATCATCGCGATGACAAGTCCTGCCCTGCCGCTCAAAACCCTCTCAACGTCACTTCTGTTTCAGCCCTCCTCTCCAAATGCCACTAGCCGCGCCGCAAGATGCCGCAAAACGCCGCAAGCTCACCCCTCTCGGCGTTGGTCTCCCGCTCTTGTATTCTACGGTGAAGACCTGGTGAATCTCTGACCTCAAACGCGCCGATAATATCATTACAGCACGAGCCCGCGTTTAAATGGCGATTCCCGAAACCGTTCTCGTGATACCGTAAAACACACCATCAAACATCCATTAAACGGACGACAAGAGGGACGTTTCAACGATTATTTCCCGCGATGCACCCCAAGTCCCCTCCCACCCAAGACTCACCCAGGAAATACATCTAGTCTAACACGTGCCCTCCGTTCCGGCCCCCTCCGCTCACGCGTTAGGTGGGCAGGTCAGTCCAAAATGGGCTGTTAAGAAAATCAGGCCACTTTCACTGCAATCCCGGTTATTTCATTCAAACCACCACCACGGGTGAAATCTTGACGATGGGGGTTTCAATGATGTGCAGCGTTTTATTTGCTTTGTTCCCGGGACAGCGGACGGGAGGCTGCTTTAGTGGTGAATCATCGACCCATAGCGACGTAATTGATCCGAGGATTTGTGTGTATTTTTGAGATGGATTGAGGTAATTCTACGGATCAGCGTACGGGCAACGTGAAGTTTCAGGACAAGGTGAGTGTTGTTTGGTGGTCGCGGGTAGAGGCACGATGTGATACAGAGCGATAAGATGGAGATGATTGAGAACAGACGTCGACATGGGGTTTCTGGGCTGCATGCACGGCATTCAAACAAGTGGGAACACGAAAACATGTGTATACCCTCAATTCAATTCTCGTTCCTGGCGATGCATTTCCCTTTTAAACAAAAAACCCCGCTTCATCTACGCGACGATAACGCAATCCCTGACCCCGACCGGTCTCGACCAAACAATTGATCATATCAGCATGTTTAAAATCTGCATGCTAGAATTATTTCCCGACAATTGTCTCACAAACGACTCCATCTTCGGTGTTCGCCAAACATCTGGAACGTTTGGGTGACCTTCTATGCCCCGGGAAGTTTAACCACGAGGAAAGCAAAGTCCAACGGTGATTCACCTCGCCACAGCGCGGAACAGTGCCGGGACCTTTGACGTGGGGGGCGTTTGGAACGATAGGCGAGGAGCGAGTGTTCGCTTCGGTGAATGCGGATTGCTTCAAAGAAAGAGAGACGGGAGTGTTTAGTGCTGTTTTATTTTTAATTCTAGCTCTAGTTTTACTGGGCTGAGGCTGATGGTGGATACGCCATGAATTAATTATTGAATCCGTTTGATGGATATGCTTAAGAAATGGCCGCGTAGCGCAGTGTCTGAGTGTTTGTTAGTTAGCCCGCATAACAAATTGACGTGTTACATTCACCGTTGGAAAGTGAATAAAAAATGCATGTCTCGGCACAAATGCAACGCTCACCAACGCCTCAAACGACAATGTCTTGAATGATGATAACAACGTCGGTTAGATACAGCTTAATATTTCGCCACGGGATCAACGGGCAGCTTTTGCAAACGGCGAGCCAGAAATGATTGACTCGCGAGTCATGATTGGGCGGCACGGACGGTCTGACAGGTCTGACAGGGATGAGGTGGTGTAGCTGTGTTCTGGACCTTCTGGAAATTCCGAGGTGCATCGGTTAAGAAATTCTGACAGCCTCTCTCAATTGCATTACAGACAAAACAATTAATTCGGTAGTTGGGATAATACCAAGACGTGTCAACATCCATCGAATTATTAGTACAGTTGGTAGAGAAGATGTAGGTGATTGGCACAGCGGAATCTTGAAGAGTCTCGCTTGCATTTTCACCCAAGACGCACAGGGCAGTCCACCCTTCACAACCATTGAATTCTAGAGCGCGCCAACACCGTCGATCAAAAACGGACGGGAGGGAGCATTCAGCCCGCTGGGAATAACAACTCGTTTGCGCATGTGCATCTGTCAGTAGCCGCTGAGCTTGAGTGTTTGACTTGACTCAGCATAAACAGGGTTGTTGGGCCCAGGTAGATCTCGATGAGAATGTACTTGTTGTGGTAAACGTTGTGAAAATCCCATTCCTAATTACAGGGGTTCACCAACAGTCACCGAGGTGAGCATGAGAGTGAGCTCCAGACGGAAGACGGAGTGCGAGGACCCCCGAAAAACGAGCGTAAAACGACCCATGATGGTATCAAAAGTGGTCAATTAACTTGCCCATACTCTCCAGCGAAAGAATCCCATCCCATGGCCCATGTGCTGTTTTCCGTCCCGTTTCTCCCTCCCTCCCGGCTCAGTTATCCTTAGCTTAGCTTAGCTTAGCTACCCCCTGCGTGCAGTTTTAGTGCACCCCCCGCCAAGCTCGGCAGCCCCCGCCGCTCGACCAACGGGTCGTATGACGCGGAACAGACATGTCGGGCACTGTCGCGCTGGCTAGCAATTGGAAGAGCGTTCTTTTTCATCTTTTATTTTGTTCTAGGTTTCTTTCATGGCTATATATCGCTTGCCCCGTCTGACCATTCAGTTTTTGGAGCACAGCATCGAATCTGAACAACATCACAATTCTCTCACCACCTACACACCACTCGACTATCTACAGCCGTATCTCGTCTCACCATCAGGCACCCCTAGCGAGGCTTGACATATCCACACGCCCCTAGATACTGAGAGCATCATAAAGATACAATATCACCAGCCTTTCAGCACCACCATCAGTCAACCATCGACTCTGCCAAACCTCACAATGGCCGACATATCATTCGACTACTTTGATCATCCCCAGAACAAACAGGTATGTTTTGTCGGTCCTTTTTACCCTACAGCGAAACGACCTCCAAAAACCCTGGCCCCAAAACCCTTGCCGTGTTTTTTTGACGTCTGGGGCAATTGCATTGTTTATATGGCACATGTTTCCCCTCCCTCATCCCCCTCACCTCACCTCATCTCAGCCCACTCTGCCCAATTCGAGTCCTCAACATCTACAAGTCCATCTATCAATCTCATCTTTATATCAAGGGTCTCTCACCACAACTCACACCATTTACTCTCTCCTCTCTACCATCTCACAAGTCAATTATCTTGAACACGTCTAACATTGACATCTTCAGCACCTTGTTCCTACATCCTTCTACGACCCTGCAGACTTCAGCGGTGATTCGGCCCATTCTCCCGACTCACCACTCTCACCCGTCTTCAACAACCCATATCAGCTCCCCGTCTCAAACGACTGGGTCAACTGGGACGACAAGGCTACGCTATCACCTGATCTCGACGCCCTCCCCAAGCAAGAGCCCTTTGAAGGCATCAACCTCTCCACCATCCCATCAAGGAACAGCATGGAGCTCAGCCCCGCCATCAACCCACACGACCTCTCCGGCACCATCCCCGATGCCGTCCCCTTTGGGAGAGTAGGTCTCAACGACATCGACACTCAACCTCTCTTCCAAACTCCCATCCCCTCCATCTCTTCTCAACCTCCTCATCTTCAGTCCAACATGATGCACTCTACCTCCAACCCATCTCAGATGTCCTCCTCTCTCAGCAGCATCAACTCCAAGGATGCCAACGGTCGATATCCCTCCCGCAAGCGCAAGTCCTCCGGCTCCGGAAGTTCTTCCTCCCGCTCGTCTACCTCTCCTCCTCCCGCGACGCGTCGCCACTGCTCTCCTCCCAAGAAGACAGCCCATAACATGATCGAGAAGCGCTACCGCACCAACCTCAACGACAAGATCGCCGCCCTTCGCGACTCCGTCCCCGCTCTCCGCGTCATGGTCCATCGTCTCGAGCAGCCTTGCACCGAGAACATGGACGAAGACGCCGACGAGGATCTCGGCGGTCTCGCACCAGCGCACAAGCTCAACAAGGCCACCATCCTCAGCAAGGCGACCGAGTACATCGCCCATCTCGAGAAGAAGAACAAGAGCCTCGCCCGGGAGAACAGCCAGCTACGGAATCGCGTTGAGGGATTCGAGATGATCGTCATGTCGCGGGATCAAGGACCCCCAGCAGGAGTCTGGGCATAGAAAGCAAAGACATAGATCTGGGTGCTTTACTTCACATTTTTGCGATATTATTATTTGGATCGGCAAACTGGAAACGCAATGCTTCGAGCTTGTGATGAATCATGATATCAGGCGTTTACCTCTGGCGTTTTAGAGACAGGTTGGGCAAGGCATTGTGTTATTTCGGCGCATTGAGCGGACATTCTGCCATCACATGGGCTTCTACATAAAATACAGGAATGGTTCCTGAATAGTATAAACAATCTCCAATACATCTAATGTCCTCTTCAATCATATTCTCTTACAGTGACACTTTGCTTCCTTTGCGACATCTGCATGTGATTGACTTTAGACTCACGATGGTACAGGTTAAGTACAGGTTAGTCAACATTTCACATGCGTATGAGCCTCATCTTCGCTTGCTGGCCTCGTGGGTCTATGCAGGGACTTTAGCAAGGAACAGGGTGCATGTGAGATGAACACGTACATATCAGGCGTGACATCGGTAGATGGAGAGCGAGAAAGTGACGTGGTGTGATGGGGATCAGACCACCATGGGTCGGTGGCTCAGATGGTTTGGTGGCTGATGAGGATTGGAAACGGGTGATGATGGTGAGAAGAGTAGCGGTGGATTATGTTGAGAGAGTGATATAGAGTGAAGTGGTATGTTATGGGATGGTGAAAAATCGTGGTTGGGTTGGGGATAGAGAGTGTTTGAGGGAGTCGTGAGGTGTCATGATGAGGGTTGGGGTGAAGTTATGATGGAGTCAATGATGAACGAGGGCGATACTGAGTACGGATATGTAAGTAATAAATCTTTTATACTCAAGTAACCCAGCTCTAAGAGCAATTACACGCTAAACTCAAGTTCATTGGAGTTGAGAGTTGTCATGATGAAGGGCCATGGAGCTGAGAGTCAAGTTGGGACTGATACTAGGCAAGTGAGACCAATCCCGATAGCAGATACATAAGTCTCGAGGCTATTAGATGTCGACTTAAGCCACGTATATACCGTTCAAAGCTGCATTGAGATTCATTCAAAGTCAATTGCCTCGAACGTATCAAGAGTAAGTGGACTAACCTGCACTAAGGGAAAATGGATGCGCTTGTTTCTCTATTATGCAAGTCGCAATCGAAAAATGATGTTATAGTATCATAATTTGAACAGTGAGAAGAACGATAAGACAGAGGAGAAGTATAGCAAGACGCTGAGCTATATTGGAAATGAGTGGTCGCCAGCCCTCTTCGTGCACGCAGCCCGATAATAACATCACACCGTCGTCTTCTGAGCGGCTAAAGACTTGCCTTCAGTCTTGAATTTTCCCCAATAACTTTATACGGGAGAGCCGACAGTAACAGAACCAGGCTTAATAGAGGTAATACCAATGCGAAATAAACTCAAAAGTGTTCATCACCAGGCAAGAATCCTTCAGACATACTGAGCAAGCTTGCAACCCAACCCAACGGTATGGACACAAGCGCAATATAGGTTAAGCGCCTAACACTGACAGCCTCTAGGACAGATCTTGGTGGGTCGAGAAGTTGGACCATAGATGTTGCGATTGTAATCAGTTGCTCAAGTGATCGGCCATGGTCCTCTAGCTGACGTTGAAGGTAATTGATATCCTTCTCAGCTAGTAACCACGTTTCTTCATTCTGTTACTTCTTCTTCTACTGGTTGATGTACTTAAACAGGAGGGCTAGTTTGTGTCTGCTTTGCTTGCAGCGGCGACGCCAGCGTTGAAGGTCAACAATGTCTTCGTTGTGTAATCGGGTTGTTATATCTCGCAGTGAATATCCATAGTACTTGGAAAACCGGCTGGTCAAGTGGATATAAAATTCCACTCTGACAGAATAATTCTGATGGGATAGTAGCTTGTGCTGAGTATACTGGGCGGGTCGAGTGACTGTTGCGTAAGGAAATAGTGAACAATGCTGCCCAGCATGAATACTTTATCCCACGGCTTTTTCGCCTGTCCACTTGCAAAGCAGGAAAATGGCTGTGAAGGGTGGAAATCCTCAAATCCCGAATACATAGCTTTGGCGTTATGCCTACGTTCATCTTTCGTCCCAGGTGCCTCGAGTACGCACGTGATAAGCCTGTCGACCAGGAAAAGACCTGCTCGTATCAGATTGCGCCTCATTGACATATTTTGATGGATTCTTACCAATGCAGGAATTTCCAATGCCCTTGAAAAATATAGAACAGGTTGCACGAGCAAGAGCTAGTTATCGACCTGATAAAGGAGCCAGCCGACGTACATTACGAGGAACATTGGAGTCTGTCTTGAGTCCATAGGCGCTGTTCCCAAAGCTAGCACTTTTTGGTAGTGCAGGTGCAAAAAGGGTTTCTCGGATATCAAGGACGGCAAAATAGCAAGTGAGGGCGGAGGAGTTTGCTTTTCAAGATCCTGAAAGTCTGTCGTGACGTAGTCGGCAAAGAATAAGGGGTCAGCATCCAAAGACTGGCCGACTTGGTCGATGAGACTGGGAGTGATGTTCTCGATGAATAGACGCCGAGCGGTGTTTGGGGGAATAGAGGTTGTCAAGACTCCAATCTCCTCCGCTGTTGCTGACATAGGTTCGTGGGGCACCTGATTGTATGGATAGTCAATGAAAACAATGCGGCTTGGACTCTTCGGTTGTTTCTTGAGGTGCTGGGATAACCCCCAGAGGCTATCCAAAATGCGAACGAGCCTCGACTATCCCTTCCAGAGGTCCCAACAGCCCGTTTTGACAACAAAGAAGTTCAAGAGAGTCCCAGATGTCATTAAGGCACTAGGATCAGCCAATCCAAGGGATTGGATCTTGGGTCCAGAACACCAAGACTCCAAAGACTATACTTTGGTTCTATGCGCTCGATGAGTGCAGCGAAGTCGAAAACATCAGGGTAGACAAGTGATGTATATACCCTATCATTTCAGTACTCACAGATCAATGGGTGTTTTCGGTCCAGAGATGCTGTGTGGGTAAACAGCTAACCTGCACCAATGGAAAGTTGGATAACCTGTACCAAGTCTAACTGACATAACCTGTAGCTACGACCTCAAAACGTCGCAAACATGACAAAAAAACAAAACCTCTTACAATCCTCCCCAGATTCACACCATAGCTTCAAGAGCAACCTCAAATTCCTCAGCCACAGTCTCAATCCATCTCGCATCATCCTTCACCGGCTCCCATCCCAACTCGCGACTCCGATCCCCCCTCGTCTCAGACCTACAACCCATCAGCAACACTCATCAATAACACCAGCCCAGCTTACCTAGAACACAATCCAAGCTCCGTAAGGTGCTCATCACCATCGAACCAAGCTTTACTGACCTCCTTCAGCCCAACACTCTCTGGTTCGGCGGCAAGTTTGCCTTGTTGATGGCCAACTCTTGCAATCTCGTTCGCTATGTCAAGCCAAGACTGTTTCCCATGATTCGCAAAGAAGAAACCCTCTTTCCCAAATGGTACATCTTCTTTCTTGACAATTTTCGCCAAAATGAGTGTGTACAGCGCTGCAATGTCTTCAACGTGCGTATGGTCCCAAACTCCTCACCCACCACCAGCATAAATTGCCCGTCCCTTATCAAGAGCAGCCCTAACAATCGTCGGAATCTGAATCGACGACTTGTTAAACAATCCCGTGCCCCTTCCATAGATCAAGGGCGAGCAGATAATATACGTCTTCACACCCAATTCCTCCCCTAGTTCAAAAACCGTCACGTCAGCAGTTCGTTGATGATACGGCTCAATGCCCTCTCTCATCTTCTCATAAGCATAAACATCATCTTTATCCGAAAATGTCCCTTTCTCAGTGTACGTTCTCGAAACAGGTCTATCGCCAAAGTTTGAAGTTCCCGAGTTGTGAATGTAGTGAACGTCACGTCCTGTTTGGCGCTTCCGTTGAGCGAGACCGCGGATGAAGGCTTGGGCGGAGGGGATGTGATAACCGTTTGCGGCATGGATGACGATATCGTGTGTTGAAGCTAATTCGGCGAGAAAAGCTGTATCGTCGAGGTTTGTGAAGAGGAGAGGTGTTATAGGAAGGGAGGAGAGAATTGAGGCTTGGGATTGATTGCGGACGAGGGCTGTTATGGGGAGTGTCGCGAGGGAGGGGTTTGAGAGGATCGTTGTTAATACGCTGCCGCCACTAAAGTTGTAAGTAGAGTGTCTGAAGGGTGAGAGAGGAGAGTTACACGTAGCCGGTTGCACCGGTGATGAGAATTCTTTGAGTTTCCATTGATGTTTGTGCTTGACTGGTGAGTATCATCGAATTACACTCATTAGTTCTGAGCCAGTGGTTCTTTTATATTTTGGCCAAACGTCTTACATCACAGGAAGCATGTACGAAAGGAGTATAGGGAGTTACCCGAAGGAGGAGTCGGTGCTTGCATGGAGACAACTTCGGGGTTAAGGGCCCGGACTTAGCAACATTTGACCTCCCAAGCGGATATAAACAATGGTATGCAGATTTGGCGTACCATTAGTTTGATAACGTCGCAGAGGAGTAAGCTTGTCAGATGATGGGCTGAGGATGTCGTCGGGTTCATCTCTGCTTGGCAAAAACTCATAAGATAACACCCAAGAAACCAGCCGGTGTCTTGAGCGTATTCATTATCCTTTGGAACCCGCCACTTGCTGATTGTCCTGAGTGCATTTTCAATCTCTAGAGTCGTTCGGGCTGGTAACCTGATACTGATCACATCCCAAAGTCTCATCGTCCTCGGGTGCAGGCATGTAGTTCCCTTTGTAGGACACATCTAACATGTTGTAGGCGATGATACGTGCCAGGTCAAGCAGTCGCCATAAAACGGGCCACAGATCTCATTACTCTTGCATGATGATACGCAAAGAGAGGACGAGTGAAGTAGCGCATGGTAGTGAGTCATCAGATGAATCAAGGATCGTTAGCTCTTCCAGGAGGATACCAGTCCAAGACAGGATCGTCGACAATCTGCGTCTTTGGGGATATGGCGAAAGCCCTGCATGGAATGTGCGCAGAGGAAAGGCCTCGGATGATGGTTGTCAAGCAAGCCGATACTTCTGGCTATCTCATTTGCCGTTTGAACCTGTTCGTGGGGAACCAAGAACAGCAAAGCTATGAAGGTATATTGCCCATGTGTGTTCTTTACCTTTCTGCTGGGGCCTAAAGCTTCTTTTAACACCTCATCCTTATACATACAGTTGTAGCTATGAAGAAGGTTAGTAATGTGTCTCGAATGTTCTGCTACATTGACGAACGTACTGGCTTGGTGGCGAGCTGATAGCCCAAGGGGTGCATCTCCCATTCCACGAGAGAAATATTGGATGACCGAAAGTTGTTCCGAGTTTGGAAAACGTAGCCATCTGATGCCAATTGAACATTGGTCACAGAAATGCCCCCTAAAATGAAGATTTTGAGCTGAGAAATGCAAGGTTGGGTTTGGTGCCCAAGTTTCCAAGTAAATGCGCCACTACTTTATCAACAGAGCAGATTACAAGCGAGGCATCAATTAAGTAGAAGAGCATTGAACTAACTACCTCTCTTATATACAAAAACCAGCAAATTCCCTTAGTCGCTATGAATAGGCCAGCTACACAATCTGTTTGCTGAAGCAACGACGGACAGCTGCCTGTCTGCCATGATGTCTTGACTAGTCGCCATTTGGTCTGCGACATGGCGACTAACACGTACAGGCCAAAGCTGCTACGCTTTCGCCGGGATTGGTCAAACTCCACAAAACAATTTTGACGAAATCGCCGGCCTTTGGTTCATTGTATGATACTATAGCAATGTTGTGTCTTGTCAAAGATGCAGGCCTGCTGTGACATTTCATGACTTGGAAATACTCGCTCATGCTTTGTTCAACAGCGCCTCTAGCTTGTCGTCACTCTAGACGTTTTTATGCCTTATCTAGGTATAGCATAAAACCATGCGAAAAAAAAAAAAATACATATGGAGACTGTAATGCAGATCGAAAGACGGGATTGGCTAGAGGCAAAATTGGGAAGAATATCAGACGAGGATCTGAATATCTGAGTACTTAAATATGTCGAGTACTGGAGGAATTATGAAGGGCTGTAGGGGCGCGATAAGCTTCAGCACCAGGGCAAGTTACAGGGTACTCTACAGGGCATTTTACAGGGCATTCTATAGGACATTTTACAGCGCTGATGCGCATCCTTCGACTTAATTATGGAAGCGACAGATGTTCATGGTGTGCCTACTTATCTAATGAGTATCATCCTGTAAGGAAATATGGAACGATTAAATTATGAGGACTGTTGATTGAATGTAGGTATGCTGTGTCAATTTAATTGCGCTGCTCGTTCAGCGGTATAGAAGGGGACCGTGTGATACATCGAATAGATCGATATCGTGAGACGTTCACTAGCGTTAACTCCTCATCATACAGGGAACTCGTAACTGACGAGAACTGCTGCAAATCACGACAATGTCTAGGCTGCTGTGTTGGTATCAACAAGCCGCTGATATGAACATGCGTAGGTGTGATGAACAACGCAGTGTTTGACTACATGCTAGTCTCCGCATATGTCGCCAGAGTGCATACACCAGAGCGCTGGCCTCTTCAGGGCACTTTGCTGCCATGTCAAAAGGCTGCTGCGTGAAACAGGCCACTCTCCTTCATGGGAAGCAGTGGACAACAGTTCAGTACAACGGAAATAGAGGCTTCTGTCTGGCCATACGTGTACTGTTGTAGCAGAACCGGAACTGATATGTCTGTTTATAAAGAATCTGCTGGGAACTACCTATTGCAAGCCTGTCAGTTTAAGGGAGATGTTGGTCGACTTTGCTCTCTGGAAGCATCATCAATTATGTAAAGTATTTGGATGCAACAGGCGACACCTTGGCGTGTCCAGAAGTGGAATCTTGTCGCATAAGCCTCGGCTTTGCAACGCAACGCAACGCCAATTTGTCTCTAATCCTTTGCCTTGCATCAAGTCAAACCAATTCAATTTTATGTTATTCACCCTATCTCAATGACCCTATTCAATTTCGTTCAATCTTTCTCATTCTGTCTCCTGACCCAATTTCTTTACGATTCTTGTTCCTTGACCTTTCCTCCCTGTGACTCAATATACTGCTCCCTGGTCTGAAAATCATACTTAGCAGCTAGCATGACATCGTAGTATAGATCAGTAGGCATTTTGCAGCCAAAGAATATTGCTGAATATTCCCATCTCTCAATAAGGTCTTCCACATCATCAAATCCTTTACTTTCCTCGACCACTGCGTTAGGGTCTACCGGAACCCCAGGGTTAAAATCAGAACGCAAAATCGATGTCTGGTTCACCAAGTGATCAATTGCTTCCTTGAATCTGGGGTCGAGAAAGAAGTGATCCGGTGTACAAGACATCGAATCTATAGATCTGAAGAGGCCCAGCTCACCGCATTTAATGAATGCTTCGTCATCCGCAATGCTCATGAGAATGCACCCCTGGAAAACCTCGGTGCAAAAATCGCCATAGGGTCCACCCTCCAACGTAAAGGTAAAGGAGCCTGTGGGGATATCCAAGTCCCGCATAGCAAGAGCGTCAATAAGCCAGGATTGTAACTTCGGGAGAAAGGAAGGGCCATAAAGTGGTCTGGTTTTGGCTCGAGTGATGCAATCCTCACTCGGCCCCGCGAAGTTGTAGATGCAGCCAAAAACACTGACACGGCGCTCCACTCGAAGTAGAGGATTTTCCTTAAATAAAGGGACCAGGCCCTGGGCATGAAGGGATGGCATATTGACTGATGGAGAGTCTTCATGTAATGTGACCCTGCGGATCTGAATTCGCTGGTCAACGGGTAGCCTTTGGAGGAACCGTATCGCTGAAGCGGTAGCAGAGAATCTTATTTTCTTGCGATAGCGATAATCGAAATGTTGGACCAATCTCATGGGATTATCATATTCGGTAGCATATTGACCTCGTTCGGCGTTTTCGGGACGTGGCTTACTGGGAGCATCGCCAAGTTCCTGGTAGAACCCGAGGGGATATGTCCAAATTTCAGGGAGCTTCCAGACAAATTCGTGAATATTCAATAGAGCCAATAAATGGGCGACCTCCTCCCGTGAAGGAATATCCCAGAGGTTGAACTTAAGCCTTAGAAACTCTTGCGATTGGTACTTGCCAACCCAGTGGGGCAAGGTCTTGTATACCTGGTTGGCGAATTCTGTTGGTACCTGTTCAGCGATGAGCCGTAGACAATAAGACAGTGCATCTCGGATATCCCCGGATTGCTCCAGCCATTGTTTATGAGGCTGACTTGGTAAGTCACGACATGGGTCCATGAAGTCTTCTTCATGGGCACCAGCAAAGCTGTGATGGGCAAAAGGACCAAGGACATCGGGACCGTCGACGTATAGCCTAAAAAAGAAATCTACCCAGGGGCAGAGAGGAGGTCGCATCCTATCGACAAGGGATTTCGAGCGGGGCCTGTCCCTTACGGGGTTGCTGATATTGTGGTTTGACAATTCTGATTCAAACGCCGACCTGAATCTTGGAAACTTCGAGTCAAGCTGGGCGAACATTGCTGGAGTTATGAACTCAGCAAGATGAAAGACCAAGTCTTGCTCTAGGATGTAATATGCAGTAGCAGCCAGGTTAAAGCAGCCGGCCAAGCTACGCCAGTCATCGCGGAGGAAGCTGGTTGAGAAGTGGATGATGTTGACCGCTAGGGGAATTGTTTTCGTGTCTTTTGCGATAGAGCGACATGTATGTCGAAGGGAGAGGTCAATCAGGGTATGGCCTTCATCGGCATTCGTTAATTTATCAGTTTGGATATCATAGATATAACCGCCATCTACCTTAAGACACTCTTTGAAGATTTGCTGACGGATCTCCGATGGAAGACCTGTAAGGGTTGGAGCCATTTTGGTGAAGGCGACGATGGTGATGATTGAAGGTGGGCAAGTTCACCTGGAAGACTTGGGAGTTATGTTATGTATGTTATGTTATGTATATTTTTCGTCCGGGGGGCCGTAGGCCCCGAAAGTCCCCTACTGGGGCACAGGACGTGCTGAGCTAGAGAAATTGGGACCTATCTACACACTAATTACAGAATACTATGACTTCCTCTCGAATTCCAATTCTGCAGACGCGTCGATAGACCTCACACTATCCAGCATATCAACGGCACAAATGGCGCATCTTATCTAGCCTGTTACCCGTCAGCGGGATGATCAGGCGCGGCTGATGAACGACAGCCGCAAGGTAAGCCCGTTGTTAGGCGATCGTGAGCCTCTGGGCGCGGTAGCCTCAGGGCTGCCTTCAAGTGGTCACGATCAGATAGAGGGCGTGCTAGCGCCCTTCATCTGGCCGAGAACAGGTAAGAGAGAAAGGTAAGAAAAAGGAAATGTATAAGGGTAAAAGAGGGGAGGAAGGATGCGAGTGCGTCCCGGGTCGTGCTCGTCTAATAACGAGGACAGATCTTTCCAAAGAAAACGCTGGCTTTAGACAGTTCGGTGAACTTGGTGAAGTCTCTTCCTGTTGCCAGGTTGACTGCTGCATTCGGTGAGGGTGCCAACCTCATCCGATGACGCGGCGGTACCTTTCTGCAGTAGAAGATGTGGTCCGGTGCTTTGCGTCGGTTGCATGAGCAGACCAGGCGTGCATCACTATGGTCGAATCTCTCGTGATATGCGGCGAAGTCCCCATGAAGCGACCTTGCTGCCAGCAGATGGTGCAAGGCTGCACGCGGGAGCGACAGCTCCGGCGGACAGCCTGTAGTCGCCTTGAGATTGAGTCTTTTGTACTGCTCAGGAGCGGAGGTGGACCACCACGCCTGGAACGCTTCTTTCGGCTTCTGTCTTGCGATTCTTCGTAGGTAAGCCAGCGTCGGTTGAGCGCCTTCGGGCTCGGGGAGCGATGACGCTGCCTTTGCCAGCTTGTCGGCCTGTTCGTTGCCAGGGATGTTGGAGTGCCCTGGCACCCAGCGAACTTGGATGGCTCCATGCGATGTCGTCAGAGCTTGGAACTCGAGAAAGACGTTTTGAGAGGATTCAGAAGGAGTGCCTCGTAGACACGTGGCGGCTGCCAGGTTATCTAGGCAGATGAATATATTCTGTGTTGCTAATTCTCGCAGGTTTAGAGCAGCCTTCAGGCCCTCTAAAGCCCCGGTAGCTTCAGCATCGAAAACCTCAGCAGGTCCGAGGCGACCTGATCCGTCAAAGATGGGGATATTGTTCTGATGGATGGTGAAGCCATAGCTGGCAGCCCCTTCTGAGGAAAGAGAGCCATCCGAGTATACGACCAAGGTGAGCGGGTCGAGAGACTCGACCCAGCGGGAAAAGGCGTCAGCCGATTTCTCTTTAGACGCTGTCTGCAGTGGGGGCAACTGTTCTTGATGGAAGCATCGATAGACGAGTTTCGGCCGCGTGCAGGGTGCAAAGAGTTCGTTTGCACGTCGAAGGCGCGTCCTGAAGCTGCTCTCTGCCTGTATTTGATATCTTCGTTTGATGAGGTCGTGGTAAGTAGGCTGTCGGGGCGGGCGCGTTCGGATCGCCAGAGGATGAGCCTCATCCAGCGATTTGAGTCGTGCGGAGAACCTAAGTCGCCTCGCGTCAAGCAATTGATCGACTGGTGGTATCCCGCTTTCTCTGTGGAGGACGGTGATGGGTGTCGTCTTCCAGACGGGAAGAATGGCCTTCATAGCCTGTTTCATGGCTTTTGTCATTATTTGCACGAGATGCTGGTTACTCGATGGTAGATCTTTCGTAGGATGGGTCCACCGCGGCCTGGTCTTGCCCGGGTACCACGCCTCTGAGCCGTGGAGCAGCACTGGCTCGACACATGCTCTGACGGCGCCTCGCACGGCGCTCGGTAGAGGGCCGTGTACCGTGTTGGTGAGCCCCCGCAAATGATAAGCCACTGCCTTTGCTTTGGCCGCCCACTTTTCGACATGAAGTCGAAAAGATAGTCTGCTATCCAACCAGATACCAAGCCAGCGTAGAGCTGGTTCAGGGTATTTCTCGACATCGCCGTGGCGCACTGCCGGCGCAGTCCTGAGTTTGCTGCGGGAGAAATGCATGACTTCGGTCTTCTTCGTGTCGAAGGACACGCCATTCTCCGCGCCCCATCGCACCATCTCGGCGATGGAACTAGATGCCATGGCAGAAGTCTCGTCTACTGTGTCGCCTATGGACAGGATGGCCGTGTCGTCTGCATAGCCGAAGCGACCCTGAGGGTTCCCTAATCGATAGATTGGCTCAGTGTAGAGCAGAAAGAGGATTGGCGATACCGGCGACCCCTGAGGGAGGCCGCACTGAAGGGGAGAAGAGGGCGTGACTGTGTCTTGGTACCTGACACGCGCCGACCGGCCGCCCATGAAGGAGCCGGCCCAGCGAGCCAGATGATTAGGCCAGCCTTGCTCACGAAGACGCAGGACGAGCCTGTTGCGCATGACGGTGTCGAAAGCACCTTGGACGTCCATTGTGACTAGAGTCGCCACCTTCTTGCGTGCAAACGCTTCTTCAATATCATGGACCAGAGCAGTTACCAAGTCTGTTGCCGACCTCTTGGGGAGCGCCCCAGCTTGCTGCGGATGAAGGACGCTGTAGTGAACGGCTGCCCAGGCTAGGCGGCGCGCGATCAGTCGTTCTAGTCCCTTACCAAGACAGGAGAGCAGTGAGATGGGTCGCCATGCTCGTGGTTCGGTAAGGTCTCTCCGTCCCGGTTTCGCGATCATGACCACCTCCGCCTCCTTGAATGGTTTTGGATGATGGCCTATGGTAAGGCATCTTTCGAAGAGACGCCGGACGTGTGTACCGATGGTATGCCATACTGCTTCAAGAAGTTTGACTGTGATGTTGTCTGACCCTGGGGATGTATTGCCTGTGTGACAAGTCGCATATTGCGCCTCCTCCAGAGAGATTTCGGGAGAGAATGGGATCGATCTAGGTGGGAATACTGGCGTCCATGCGTTTGCGATGTCGTCCTCCGCAGTTCTTCGTTCAAGCGTGGCCTGTCGGAGTGCGTTGGCTTTATCCATCTGGCTTTCGTACACGACGTTATCGACCTGTAGAGGTGGCGGCTGGAAGGCTCCTGGGGACTTTAGCCACCGGACAGCTTTGAAAACGTCGCTACTGCTGGAGAAGCCATCGATGAGGTTACGCCAATAGCGCCTCTTGGCCCGACGGACCACACGATGAAAGCCTCTTTTGGCGATCTGAACGTCCTGGTTGAAGCCGAGTGGGTAGCTTCTTCTGATGGCTCGAAAAGCAGCCGCGGCGTCGGCGCACTCCTCCGTCCACCAGGGAGCCGGGCGTCCGCCTTTCCGCGCGGGCCTCCCAGACGCTTTTGCTGCTGATGTTAGTAGACTCACGAGTGAAGACGCAAGCTCGTCCAGCTCCTCGGGGGTCGAATCTGTGAGGGGGATTCCTGTAGCGCCAAGCTCTACGATCTCGACGAATCGTTTAAGCTCGTCTTCCGTCGTCACTCGAATCTTGCCTGGCTGCACCGGAGTCGATCTGACGTCTGGGAAGGTCAGGCTGAGCGTGAAGTGGTCAGAGCTGGTGGCGAGATGGTCCTCGACGATAGCTTCAGCAAGTGGTAGGTTAGTAAAGGCAAGATCGATTGTGTTGCCGTACGGGTTTGTTGGGATATCTAAAGTGTTGAGAAGGCTGAGGTCATTCTCAGACACCCATCCTGCTATCTCTTGCCCCCGGTTCGTAGTTTGGCCTGTTTGCCAGCTACGATGTCTGGCATTGAAATCGCCAGCTACGAGGCAACGTTCCGGGACAGACCATTGAAATAGCGTGTCTAGGGCGTCCCTCTCGTCGTTCTGACGATAGAAGTTGACTATGGTCATGCCGTTGATCGCGAGCCAGAGAATGTCTCGGGTCTGGAAGGGCCGAATTTGGTCGGCAAGGAGTCTGGGGTCTCGCCGGACATATGTCATCACTCTAGGCCGAGTATCGTTGCTATTCCACATGTCGACCGGCGTGAATGTGTCGTATGCAGGGTGAGTCTTGGTTAGACAGCGGGTCTCTGTGTGAGCCGTCCACGGCTCTTGCAAGAGCACAATGTCATATCGTTCCGAGTCGGCCAGCGCCAGGGCGCAGTCGTGGGCCGGAGGGATCTTGCCGACGTTGGCCTGGAAGATCTTGAGCGGCTTCCTGTCGTTCTTTCGTGTTTGAGAATATCTATTCCCGGTCATGAGGACGAGTGATGAGTACGATTCGGCGCTTTCGCGGTGAGCCTGGTCTGGGCTGTTCGGGTTCTTCCTCTGCTTCATAGCCAGCATGAGGGGTCGTGGCCACCATGATGCACGAGGGTGCTCCTGATACAGCTGGGCTGGGAGCACGATGGTTAGGCTGTTCTTGTGATGTGACATCCACGCTTCGTCGCTCAGCCATGCCCTGCTGCGTTTCCTGATGCGATTCCAGATGCCGTTCTCGATGTCGTTGTCGGTATGTCTCCGCACCTACGGTCCGGACATGCTTTCGTTGCTCTTTAGTGAGTCGGCGGAGCACGCCGTGCACTGTCTTTGGCCGAGCTGGGCACCTACGGAAGTTGGCCTGGTGGGGGCCTAAGCAGTTGATGCACTGTTCTCGTGCGATGCAATCGTCTACAAGATGGCCAGTCTCACCACAGCGTCGGCAAACTGGCTGTCTGTGACAGTTGCGGGCAAAGTGGTAGCCCCAGCACGTCTCACACTGTCTGGGTCGGTCGGTTTTGTCAACAAGCCTGGCTGCGCTGCTGCCGAAAAGAGACCAGAATCTCTTTGTGGGCTTCAGAAAGGACACGAGCAGGGCCTTGGTCAAGGGGTTATCCGAGAATTGTCTTCCGGTACGTACATCAATGGGCTTGATCCCAGTCTGGACTTCTATCTCGTCGCTAACGACGCTGTCACTATCCACCTCATTACCGTAAAAGTCAGTCAGCCTTGCGGGAACGTCTGAGACCACATAGGTGAACCATTCCTTGTTCGTTTCTACTGCTGTAGCTCCCAGTTCAGCGGCCCACTCAGCTTGTTTATCTACCAGAAAGTCGCGTGTGACAGAGTCGGCGGCCAGGACGGCCCATCCCGATCTGACCGGGAACACCTGTCGAATTTTGTCCGAGACGGCGCCGAGTTTTTCCCGGATCAGAGTCCGGATGGCATAGCTACTGTGGGCCCTGGCCGGAGCTCCGGCTTCTAGACGGATGAAGACACGGAGGTCTTGTCGGGGTGGGGCGATAGTCGTCTGTTGCCCTTGGCGATGAGGTGGATCTGTTTGTCGGCGTCCATGTTGTTGTTGTTGTCTGTGGGTCAGACGGTCATGGTCAGTGGGAGGCGCGGCAGCAGCGACGCTGCTGTATGTAGGCTTTGGGGTCGCAGGTCCGGAGCAGGAGAGCTCTCGTTTCCAAAAGCCGAGGAAATCATCGGCAAATTGCTGAGCGAAACGTCGTTGCGGTCCGGTGACGAATTGCTGGGCCGCTTCTTCAAATTTGGCACAAAAGGCCTGGAAAACCCCCAGCTTGATGTTGTACTCTTCCACGTATTCTCGCGCGAGATCGTTGGCTGATTCAACGATAGAGATCGGTCGTTGTTCAAAAATGGATGCGGGACTGGCACGCTCAGCTCCTTCCGTAACTGCGGCGATGGTGGCGGGGTTGAGTGGTGAGGATGGTGTCTGAGCCATCCGCCTGGGACCGGGTGAAACACCAATGGTGCCGTTGACGGCTGCCGGACTGTTCTGCAAGAGGGCTGCACGGGCTCCCCGGTTCAGGTTGACGGGAGTGTGGATCCCCAGATCGAAGGGATCCAAGGCAGCGGGCGGGATCGTCGTAGACGAGGCCATCGCCGCGGTTTGCGACTGCGCAAAGCGCAGATTGGAATGTTTGTTGTGCACTTGTTAAGGATTTAGGTGTAGACAGGGCCACTTTCTTAACACTTGTATGCTAAGAAAGTGTGATGACAAAGGAAGGTGGAAGACTTGGGAGGGGCAGACAGCGGGGTTCTTATAGGGTAGTGTGGAGTGCATGAGTCATATCAGGTAGCCAATCAAACGAACAAGCAAACATAGAGAGTTTCACAGGCTGCGATGGACAGGAACAGAAATTTTGGGTGTGGCCATAGCACGTTTCTATTTTTTTAAGTTTGCAAGTTAGCCTCGAAAGGTATATCCAAGCATCTCCAGAGTCTAATATAGTTTAAACATTTATTGCCCCTACAGCCGGCAAAGCTTCATTAAGTCAAATCATCATAGTTAGCTGCCTCAATTGCAGCCTGAACCTAGCTGCACATATGCCAGCTGAAAAGCCCTGTCACCAAAAGTCAGTTGCATGTCAAAATGTCAAGGAGGCGTAACACGTACTTACCTGCTCATCAGCTGGCCCCAACCTTCTTCCTACAACCCACCTGAAAGGCTAAGACACTTCAAGTCAGTTTTCAGTACAACAGACCAAGGCCATAATCGCATGCCTACTCTTTCATCGACCTCTGCTGCCTATTAAAAGGTCAGCATAGATGAAGACCAGATGCGAGATAAGATGTAACAGAGGAAAGAGTAAACTTACATACCACGCTTCAATCATCCATCACGCTTCCGCTTCAAGGTCAGCCAAAGCCTGTCTATAAGAGACCGCGCCGCAAACTCACCAGTAAGTCATCCGACCCGACCCGACTTTCCCTCTATCATATCAGCTTAGCTCTGTCACAGGAACAGGCCAACATACATACCTTCTGGCCGCAACCGCTAACAGCATCACAGCTGCCCCGTCACGATGCCTGCTACTAGTAAACCAACAGTTAGATACTGATAAGATATAACGACCTATCAAGATGGCAGACAAATACTTACTCCGAAGAAGCCTGCAGGCACCCAGGCCCGACGAGCCTTATCTGACTGAAGGCCATGATGTGATCCCTAAGATCGAAGAAGCTCTTGGGCGAAATAAGGGCAAGGGCGATATGCTGCGTATAATGGCCATGGATATCGGAGAGGCCTGGTTTAATAAGGATGATGCCAGCCGCGTCACTATAGAACAGTTAGTATAAGATAAAGAAGGGAGATGATCTTAGATATACTTACGGATGGCGATCTTTGGTTGCGAGATCCTCCTGCTTATATGGTCTATCTATGAGAACCCTCTGATTAACAAAGACTTCCTTGAACGCGAGAAGCAGAAGCTCAAGGATCTAGAAAGGAAGCTATGCAGAGGGGTGCAGCCAAGCAGGAGGGAGAGGGGGTTCCTCAGGGCCCTTAACCTGCTAGAGATGATAAGTAAGTGGCATCATGTTGGCAGTTGTTGAACTTACGGCGGCTTGCATGACGAGTGGCTCAAGGATATCCGGTGGCAGGCCAAGGAGGTACTGGAGAAGACCGAGAACCTGTGACTACAGAGGAGGTCAGGTTAGTATGGATATAATAGCGGAGGAGGGCTTGCTCTAAGAAAGAGTACCAGACAGACCAGGCTGGTCATGGTCTTGGACCACGAGAGCGCGACTGCTAACAACAGCAAGGTCAGTGGCAACTCGGAAGGATGCTAAAAGGCAGGGCAGGCACGGGCTTACAGACGGGGGGATGTCGTACCGCGATGTCTGCTATCCAAGGACGGTCAACGGAGGAGGGGACAGAGGAAGAGGGCGAACATACGGATGGAAGCGGGGTAATCGCGGGGTTCTGCTGAGACGTATTAGAGCCGTGGCAAATAGGTTGGTAAGAGTGAGGTGAGCAGGAAGTGAAACCTTGCAGACTAGGAAAACTGCCAAAGCCAGATTCTGGTAAAGCAAGGCGAGGTCGAAGGATGCGATGGCAGGATAGTGTACGTACTGGAGGAAAAATGTATTGAGTCTAACATCGGTCAGCAACATGAATATACGACATATGGGAGGGAGAGGAGACTGAGGTCGAGTAAGACTTACTTTGTGTGAGTTTAGTTGCCTGAAGTCAAAGACCTGAAGTCGTGACTGACTGAGTAAGTTGGACCAGGCTAATCGAGCAAGGGAGAATGGAGGGGCTTACATTTGGCGTCGGCGGCGAAAAGAGGATCAAATGAGTCACGAGACAGATCACGTGACCAAATGAGCAAATCCTGATGAACAGCTTGAGCAGGAGTCGATCAGAAGGGATGGAAAAAGTTGGAGATACTTACAGCTGTAACATCAGTGCACCATCAATATAAACAGGGGTCTCATAGTCAGGTAAAGGGCCTAACGAGGAGCCCTAAAGACGTGAATTGGAATAGATGAAGAAGGCATAATCCAACGAAGGCCTAAATGTAATGCAAGGATTGAGTTTTGGGTGAACCTGGTCCGGCAACCTCACCGTCTTCCATAACCCGTGTGTGGAGGTTAAGAACCTCCGGCGTTGAAATAGAACATAGAGTCCAGTCGAGCCAACGCGAACTGTTCAAGCCTGAAGTACACCATGGCCCAGTGAACAGCAACTTTCAGGTCAGTCGTCAGAAGCGTCTCCCATCGGAAATGCTTGACCTCCCGAATCAATAGTAACCTGGCATCGTGAAGATCAGGGCAGTGCATGAACATGTGATAAACCGTCTGGTTAGGGTGTCCGCAGGTGCAGGTGGCTTCAACTCGTACTCTGACGACTTCGTTGGAACCAGGAAGCGTGACATCCCTCATCACGTTGCATTTGTTCAAGTACCCATTGAGCCCAATGCACTCGGTCCGCAATTGCATCCCGAGTGTAGACTCAGGGCGTGTCATGCCCTTATAGTAAGCCAAACTTTCTGCGCCCCATCCCTCCGTAAGCGCGAGAGGGCGGTAGGTAGAGGTTTGCTTGTCCAATCGCTTCTTGAGGTAGGCTTTCCATCCTTTGGCACTCTCCTCAGCTGCTTGCATAATCGCTTGTTGTTCGATAGCCTTGTTGCGGTTGACCGGGTTCCTCCAAGCCTGAAGAACTGTCGTCTCGCATGGACCCTTCCAAGTAGCGCGAAATCGCAGTCCGGCCGCCTTGACTAACCCGCGCGCCCTGCTATCGAGGATTTCGAAGGCGCTATTGTTGTATTGGCCATACTTGTCGTGGAGCCTCCCGTCCTCATACGCCCGGGCTTCGTACTCAAACCAGAAGTCATAAGTGCGCATCTTCAAAGCCTTGGCGCGAATCGATATCGACATGCGGTAGAGGAAGACTTCAATACTGTCCAGGTGACACTCCTTCTCCAAGACGTCGTGTGAGGTGCCTCGTATCGAACCGGACAGCAGCATGATGCATTTGTATTGGAGCTTTCGGAGTCGAGCTATCTGGGGCTTTGGTAGTGAACATTGCAACCCCCCGCCCGTGAGGCTGACAAACCAAGCTGGGCAAGCATAAGAAATGATAGGCCGAATCTTGCAGATGTAATATTGCCTAGATTTGTCGAGCGTTATGCCCCAGTTGGCCCCAGATATTCGAGATTGATACCTCAACGCTGTCGTAACCTTTTCCTCGATAAGAGTCAAATGGTGTTCAAAGGACATCTTGGGATCCAACATAAGCCCAAGAACCAGAAGCTTTTCATGCTGAAGGCATTGCGGGTTGCTCTTGAGCTCATCGATGTCGGGCAGTAGCGTACACGGGGGCTCAACCTTTGGCTTCTCCTTTGGCGCATCGTTCGGCCCCGGGTTCTCGCGTTTCTGTTTGTCACTCTTGCTCTTTTCCTCACTTACTGGACGTTGAAAGTGCATGACCAGGGACTTGTGCGGAGAGAATGAGAGATGGACGCCTTTGGCCCATTCCATGATAAGATCGTGGAATACCTTCAAGGCACCGCAATTCTCCTCGTACGAGGAGGAGACAGCCATGAGATATGTGTCATCCACATACGCAAACACATGAACCTCAACGCCTGGCCGCTTCAGTGTCTTCATTTTCTCGGCAAGCATCGCAAGCAACGGTGCAGTGTAGAACAAGAAGAGCAGGGGGGAGAGCGGGGATCCTTGGGGGATACCAATGTTGACAAAAAATGGTTCTGAAACGCTTTGGGGCAGTTTGAGAACGGTGCTGCGGTCGGAGAGAAACGAGTGAATAAGGCGGAGGAACCACGTAGGGACGCGATAGTCGGCAAGGGTCTGGAGTAGTATGATGCGATCAACACAATTATAAGCCCCAGATATGTCAAGTGCCATCAACGATACATACTTTTGAGACTTGTTCCCCCGTGGTTTCCAGGCCCAGGCTTTGCGCACAACACCCAACATGGCTTTGAGAGCGTCCGTTGTCGATCTGCCAGGAGCGCCATATTGTGTCTCGGGAAGAAGATTGTGATCCAACGCAAGCTTCTTCAGGCGTTGGGCAAGAACCCTTTCGAATAGCTTACCGAGACACGATAACAATGCTATAGGGCGCCAGCTATTTGGAACGTTATAGGTAGACTTACCGGCCTTGGGCAACATCACCGTGATAGCTTTCCTGAAGTCTGCCGCGTGGCGGCCAAGCCTGATGCATGCGTTGAAAAGCTTAGTGATGTAAGGCGCTGCCAGCTTGCGACACAACTTGAGGGCCTCGTTGGGGACCTTGTCCTCCCCGCAGGCCTTCTTTGACGGGAGCTTTTGGATCATCATCATGATCTCGAGCTCCGTCAAGACCCGATCCATTTCCAACTCCTCCCGATCAGGGCTGAGGTATGGGAAGGGAAGTTCTGAGGCATCACACTCGCTCGTGTTTGTCCATATGAAATCGCGGATACACTTCTGTTTGTCCTCCTCTGAAGCAAACGTAGTCCCGCCATGGACAAGTGGGGACATGTTCATGACATTCCGGGGCTGGGATTGCGATTTGCCCATCGAAGTCGCCACCCAGAGAGCCTGACCCTCAATGTGTTCGCGATAGGCTCCCCGGGAGTTGCTGTGCAGCGGCTTGATGCGGTTATCCAGTTGAATGTCTGGGCCCCCGGGAGTCGAGAGGCAATCAGTCGAAAGGATGTTCCGCATGCGAGGATCCAACGGCTGTTGTCGTGGTGGTGGATTTGCGAGACGGCTCGGGACATTTTCCTGTGCAGACTCATAAATAACCTGAATAAGTATCGATGCAAAGGCATCCAAGTCTTGATCAGAGTCCACTGCCATGCCATCGAGATCGTGAAGACCTTCTTCGACGGCTTTGAGGGAACACTCGATGTTGGCCCGGTTCCATAGTAGGATTTTACTCTCACCTCTGTAAGAGGTCATATCCAGGACGGTCCTGATGGGACGGTGATCGCTCAGCTCCCAAGGGTTGTCTCGAAAGACTCCCCAATGCTTGACATTGGGATGCAGGGCGCGGCTGATGAAGGTGAGGTCGATGCATGAAGCCGTAGAATGGTCATCACTCTTGCCCCTGGTGCAAGTGATAGTACCCTGCTTGGTCAAGAGTACCATCTTCGCCTTTGTCATCATCTCATGCTCGAGTACCTTGGCAGCCGGAGTGTGATTGCTCCATTTAAACAGAGGGCCACCCCATGTCAGGCGATGAAGATTGAAGTCGCCGACGACGATGTCACGTCCAGTGGCTGTTGTTCGTTCAACCAAAAGCTCGACATCGATATGCCTCTTTAGCTGACCGTCCTTTGCTGGCTGGTTCACATTGTAGACAGAGTGGATGGCAACCTCCCCATCTTGAGTCTGGAGATAAAGTGTCGCCGCCATATCTTGGTTGGGACCATCGTGATAGACGACATGCCAATACTCTCTGGGAATTGAGCGATGGATGAAAAAGAAGACACGGCTAAATTCTACAGGAGCTGGTTGCTCCTGTTCCGGAACCTGCGATGAGTTCTTGTCCTTGTTGACATTGCCCTTCCGTCGACTGGGATCATCGGGGTTGTCTGTTTGCAGGAGAGGTCTGGCTGGATTCATATCGAGTCGATAGCCCGGAGGATTTCGCCAGATGGTTCTCGGGGACGGATCGCAGCCGCATATGATGTCGGCAGAGCCACCGTTTCGGCCCTGTTGCTCATACGCCATGAAGACCTGCGTGCGACGCCATGAGGTGGCGAAGTTGGCTTGATCAATGATCAGGCTATCAAGTCTCGGAACGCATCGCTCCCTCTCGGCTCTGCGCTTCTTTCGCCGAGCCTGTCGACGCCCCATGTTCTGTTAGTAACTAGACTAGGAGGTGAAGCCAGGGGGGCAAGCGACTGCAAGGGCTGCTGCGAGACAGAGAGTGATGCGAATGAGATGCAACAGGGCTTGACTGACAGCCCATCGGTCTGACCACCGATGAGCTGTCAGGCAATGGTTACTGTTGTTGACCAGTAGAGAGAGAGAGTGTGTGTGTGTGATGAAATGTTAGCAAGAAAAAGAGTCTGAATGAGTGGAGGTTTCAAGATGGAAAAAGAAAGGTGTTGAAGAGACGGTATTCGCGTTGTGATGCAATTTTCCGACTTGTTTGCATTGTTATCAAGAACACGTTTCAATGAAGGAATGAATGAATGAATGAATGAATGAATGATTGATTGATTGATTGATTGATTGATTGATTGAAGGAATGAATAAAGTCGTCGATGGCGACTTATTTATCAATTTTCGTCACCTTGCGCACCTAAGGTACTTTGGTAAACAAACCCAACGCCAAAGGTACAAAGTTATCCAACGTAACGTCAAATGCGATAATTTGTCAGCAGCGGCGGAGTGTTGAGAGATCCGAGCGGCTAAACATTGCTGTATTATCGTATGATTGAGAAGCAGACATCTCAAGGCAGGAAATTACAGGGCGAGGATGAATGTTTGTTCATTATCGCTCCCAGGGCATGAGCCGCCCGAGCGAGCAATGGCTACTGAAACCTTCCACTAAACCAAGCTACTGGGGGATGGGAGTGCTTCGCCTGCACGGCTGAGGCAGGGCACCCAACTTGGCTAGTTCGGTTTTTTAAGGGCGCCTCGTAGCGCTGTGGCGGGAATTGTTATCCCATGCATGCAGACTACGCGGAGTGCCGGACTCGCGGCAGTTCATGCCGTTTCACAAAAGCGACATTAGCGGCGAGAGGCCTTGTTGGACTTTTGACCCCTGAGCTAGCAGGGCCAGTGATTCGACGTGATAGCTGCTTCAGGAAAGTCTCAATCTCCGCTACTCGTATGGGTACTTGTTCTTTACTAGTCGACGTAGTCAAGATGAATAGTATCGAGTCTATTCGCGTCTCTCAACAAATTTGCCTTGGAAGCATCGGTTACGATATTGTGATCAGCTAGCACATACGTAGGCCTCGTCTGGACCGAAGCCTGATCAAGAGAATTGCAACCTGAGACCCTTAGGCGTTTGCTGAACCCTTGAGTCCTGCTTATCGCTTACCAACCCAAAGGGGCAACTTGGACATATTCCCCTTGATCCCCGAATACATGCCCATCCTGGCCTACAAACGGAAACTAGGTAGGCTGTGTTGCAATATTCATCGTAAGCTATCATCCAGATGTAGTGTTCCGTGCCGTTCCGCGTGACCCGTTCATTTGTTTCCTCGACAACTTTGGGATCTTTTGCCTCGTGTCGTTCTTGAGCTGTTCTACTTCGTGCAAACGTGTATCAAGAGTTGCATGAGCGGTATTAGCTCGCCATCTGAGGGGTATGGTGCTAGCTGCCCAGCCCGACGGGGCTATGGCTGGCGAAGACGGCATGTGGAGACACTCTTGCACAGAGGTGACGGAGCAATAGGAACATGGAGTCATCTTAGAGTGATTGAAACCTTGTAGAGGGACCAGGGCAACAGCGCCGGGCATTCTCCTGTCCCTGGGCTGTCATAGACTTCACAACAGACAAAACCAGGGCTCAGCACTTCTGCTGTCGTTACAGGTATAAATTACGGCTTCATAGCGTTGATTGGTTACTATCTCTTCATGGCCATCACTTCCAATTTCCTTCCCATATCACTCATCTTCATATCGTCAAAACGCCTCATCCATCGTCATCATGCCTTCCCACGGTAATCGAAACAAACGTCAAAGGGATGAAAGTCACACTCCCGAACGCCCACCTATGGATGAGCTTGTGTACTGGATCTGGGAAACACTCAAGGACACGGCTAAACGCGTTGCTAATATCGAGAACGAAGTACGAGCTACAAATCGTGCAACGACGGGTAAATCGCTGCAAAAGATCTCAAACCGTTTATCCAAACTCGAGTCCGATATTAACAGATTCGACTGCCCGCATCAAGATATGATGGAGACTTTTGAGCGCTTCCGTCAAAAACTGGCCAGCATTCAAGAGGAAGTTGCGGGCTCCAACTCCCAACCAGGACATGTTCCAGGATCTGACGGTACACTTCTTGCTTACCTTAAAGACCTTGGCACACAGATGAGTGGCATCACTGATCGCATGGGCAACGTCGAGGATAGTTTGCTGAAGCTTGAGGACCGACTATTCGGACGGTTCGATGAGTCCGTTAATAACGAAGCTGGCTACGTTATGATCAAATTGCCCGATGAGTCGGAGTACCGTCAAAAGCTGAAGAAGTATTTCATGATCGACCTCACACAGATGGTCCAAGCCCAGGGCGGACCTTGGAGCAAAGTCGATACAGTCAAGTTACAAGATTCTCGGGAAAAAGGCAAGTTCAATCACATGATCATATCGTTCTCCGACTGGGAGACTGCAGAGCACATTCGGAAATACTTTGCGAATCTGAACGATTTGTTTGAGCTTGAACATAGCTGCTCCTGCCTTCCTTTCATCCACCATCTGCACATAGCCGACCTCGCCGCTCATCAAAAGATGGGGTACGACTATAACATGCAGAAGTTTCTCGACGAAGAACTCCGTGAACCTGGTGTCAAGGCAAAAGTTGCCTTTCAGCGGGTCATCCTACAAACCCCGAGTTTTGATACGGCGAGGAGACTTGTATTGACAGGTGTCATGGTGTACAGCCATAATTACAAGGTCGTGTAAGTAACCATCTACCTCAGGTATCAAACGTTCTCAACACACAGACTGACAGAAATGATGAAGGCCTTTCTGTGCTCAGGGAACCCCGCTATTTTGCAACAACTGTTGCAAGCCCAGTCACTTCAGAAGCGATTGCAACGCCAAGGAAGCGCGGTGTGGCCTTTGTGCAGAGGCACATGAGTCATTCACTTGCAAAATTCAGAAGAACTTCAAGTGCTGTAACTGTGACGGAAACCACAAGGCGTGGGATCCACAGTGCAAAGATAAAAACTCAAAAGCAGAGCATAGGAAGTCCGCGTTTTACCGACAGAAGATTCCTCATTGGGCGCAAGACCTTGAATCGACAAGGTCCTTCAACAAGGCTGCCAGAGAGAAGGGGAAGACGAAAAACTCGACCCAGGGCTTTTCGAGTGTCCCTTCGTCACAGGAATCCGCGAAGAAACCAGTCGGCAGACCACGAAAGGAGTCAGAGCCCAATCCGGCGGGCCAATCCATGATCACCTCATTCATGGAACGGAAGGATGGCCAGGGATCGCAGAACAAGGAAGACGTACCAGATGTAATGGAGATAACAACGCCACCCGATGACTTGGACATGAATGACATGGGCGGTGCTTCTTCTCAACCCGGCTCTGCAAGCGATCATGGCTCGTCCAACTCCAACAGGCCCAGCTCTTCCCACGACAATATCTACGATTACGGTACGCTCTTCGACTCAAACATGTCGATCACCAGCGGTCATGAGGATACTAAGCAGCAGAGACCTGGGTCACGATCGAGTGAGTCTAGCAACAACCATCGCTTCGACGACAGTAGCACGGAGGAGGCAGACGGCAACAAGAAAAAGAATAAGAAGGGTAAGAATGGCCAGAACAAGAACAATCGCGACAATGGTAAGGGGAAAGAGAACGCTACCGCTGAGCCCAAGGCTTCCACTCAGCAACAGAAGAAGGACAGCACCACTCCATCTCGCTCTCAGAAGTCGCCCAACACGGCCGCCAGAACCCCTACAGGTAAAGGAAAAGCAGCGGCGGTGGAGAGGGAGGAGGCTCGTACAAGGTCACCCTCTGACGACGTGACTCGAAATCAGAGCAGCAACAGGGATAGTAGAGTAAAGAAGGACAAGGGTAATGGCAACGGTAGCAGCAATAGAGGCAGGAGCAGCACCCGGAGTAACACCAACACCAACGCCAACGCCAGCAGGAGCACCAACAAGAGCACCAACAGAGCCAGCAGCAGGAGGACCAACGCCAAAAACGACAGTGACAGCGACAGCGACAGCAGGACCGGCAATAACGGCCACGCAAAGGGCGACGGGAGGGACAAGGCCGCCAACGACAAGACTAAAAAGTTTCAGCAAGCCGGAACCTCTCGTCATGGCAATGGCACCAAGAGCACTCCCAAGGCCAAGGCCTCTACCCGCAATGCTTCTGTTGACAACACTCCTCTCGCTGCTCTTAGGTCCAACTCTGCCTCTAGAACTCCTGTCGGTACCCCTTCCAACGCTCTTGTCACGACTACACCTACCCCCAGCACCCTGCCCTCGACCATGCGCGCTGGTCACCATCGGTCTGCTTCTGGTCGCGAGAAGGGTGGACCATCTCCCAGACCGCAAGGCTACAAGAAGAGGAAGTTGTCTCAGGGCTCAGCAAAGAGTAAGGGCAAGGATTGATTGGATGGAAGAAGACCAGCTGTCTCTGTAGGATCTGCGGATGCGTCTGTTTTGTTTCTTTCCGAGTTGAACTTTGTACTTTACCTCTCCTACACCTTTTTCGCTCACATGTTCTCTTTCCTTGGTTGTTATCACGTTTGTCTTTAGAGAATTTAATAACGATATTTGGACTATATTTTCTTGTGCATTACCTTGTAGTTGGTTTTTTTTCTACTCGATGTGACTTTTCTTTTTCGTAGCGGATCTTTCCTGGTGTACCATGAGAATATACGTGGTTACTAGATCAGCGTCTTGTCAACTCGCCGTGCCTTGGCAGTACATTGTCATGAAGCCTGTGTCTTGTATACTGATTGCCACACTCCTGATCATGTAAACTTCATGATGAGTTATTCACTGATCGAAGTAACTTGAATGTATGCACGCAAACATAGACTACCTAGATTAAACTTAAATATGTGATGGCATTGATTGTATTAATGAAGTATATGAGTTTATTATACGATGATATTAATTCATAGAATATTTCATATTTTTATCTCCAGGGTGAAGTAATAAATTAATATACCTGGCGTTTTTAATACTTAAAGATAAAGTCGTATTTGGAATAAGAATATATATATCTTAATTGCTATTTTCTCTTATATGTAATATTACATACTAAGTCGTGTTATGACTTATGGCTTTGTCCTCACGTTATTATGTTTTCGGTGGACGTTATACTATTAGCATCAGTATTACCAGAAATACAAACGACTAAAAATCTATTTGGCTTATTATAAGCTGTCGTCTTTTATAATAAACATATAAGAGGCAATCTTGATCATGAACGACGCGTCTCACTGGACTAGAGTACAAATTCCATAAAAGCCAGCAGACTATAAGCAGAGTTGAGCTTAGCATCAGGTGTTCGACTTTAACAGGCCAGGTCTTATATCCAGAACAACAAATGATGAGAGAGCAGAAACAGAGCAAGAATAGAAAGCAAAATGTCGGGGGGGCATCGCCAGCGCGAAAAGTTGAGAATCCCTGGAAAACCACCAAGAACCCCTTTCTCAACATTACGAGAGCTCATTTCCGTGTCAAAACGGCTTACGATGCCAACCGTATTGTGACAGTTGTGGCAAGCATTCCAGGGTAAGAGGTCTAAGCTTCGTTAGTGGGGTCAGATGGATGTCTGTGGCAACAGACATAAAGGGACGGACTCCCCTGAGGACTTTAGTTTTTCATGCTTCTTTATATATATAATTTTTACTCTTTTTCCTTCGTATTTGATACTATTGAACTGATCGTTTAATTCTCTATCTTATGACAAAGACCCTGTCTCAATTGAACCTAACTGGCAGTCTACACTTAGCTTGCAGTTGAGAAGTGTTGGAAGATATCGTCTTGTGCAGTCTTTTCTTTGTTGTTGCTCTTCACCTTCAAAGTATCAGCCTCGTCACTAGATCAGTGTTACAAGGTGCAACTTGCGGGCTGCGGGCTTAAGAGTAAGTGTCATGTCCAGGATTGATGATATTATCGCCATGCACGGTTGCGTCCTATGCCTTACCTGGCGTCTTTGTGCTCGGCCGTTAGCGAGGCCGTGATGATGCCTGGGGGTTTACAAAAATAACGTTACCCCGACCGTGCACTGCGGATCCCGCACTCGGTTGCGGGGAGCCGAAGCGCACAGGCGTCTCAACAACCCGCGCTAGCCGCGATATGACACAAAATATTGGTCTAGATTCCAAAACCCCTGCTGTTGCTCAAGTCTATACGCATTGCGCACAGATTGATGGAAATGATATCAAGCCATGTAATGTGGATGTCCTCGTTGCCGAATCTTAATAAATGGGTCATGGTCTGATAGATAAACAGGCATACTCGGTCCACCAATGGGATGAAACTTGTTTGTTATATCAGGAAGTTGTCGGATAAGACTAGTGAGATGGTTCAGCTGCAGGGACGGCATGGTCAGGCTAATACAATATAACCTTCACGGCATTAGCATTATTATCGCGTATGCCGCTAACCCCACAAAAGAGGAAACTTTGCTTTGTCGCCGAGACGGGTCGTATTCAGCCAGGAACACCGGCTCATCTAGCATCATTTATGCAGAGTCGGAGATTATAACGGGAGAACGAGGAATGGGTAAAATCACAAGATAAGCCACGCGTTACGCGTCAGCTCCAAGCCGGCACATACGGCAGCACAGTTAACAGTCACAAAGGCCGTTTCCGTAGTAATCCCATCACCGGTTAGATCCCGATACTTCGCCTTGTTCCATCTTGCTTCCGTCCGCCAACTACAAGGCCGTGTAGGAACGAGAATCATGCCTAAGTTCTATGCAATTGCTAGAGGCTTCAAGGCTGGTATTGCGCATGATGACAAGACTCGCAAAATACTGACAGACGCTTACAAGGGCAACAGGAGTAAGTTTTTACGACAATAGCTAAGCCTCTCTAACGCGCGCGAATAGACAAGTCTTTCAAGGCACGAGCGGATGCTGAAGAGTGGCTTGATAGAGAGCTAGGTGTCGAAAATGTTGCTTGGTCGGATATTGACGAGGATGATGCAAAGGCTGCCAAGCATGCTGCCGACACGGAAAGGGCTGCGCGGAACGCCGAAGCCGCTGCTGCTAGCCAAGCTGCAGCTGTTTATAGAGCAGAGGAGAGAAGAAGGGCCATCGCAGAAGCTACCTTGAGGGGTAAAAAGGCTGTTGCGGCATCGGCTCCCGATCGATTTTCTCAACCTGCGTCCTCATCCTATTCATCGTTGACGTTTTTGACCGGACCAGGATCTCTGGCTGCATTCAGGGCTGAGCTCTTGAAAGCCTTTGGCGACGTATGCGACAGGTTTGGCCTCGGGAACGCGCCAACGAGTACCAAGCTACAACTTCCAGCCCCAGAGCCCTCGGCAGCTTTGAGGAGAGCGGGAACTGTCAACACTTTGCCTTCGAGCCCACAAGATCCGCGACCTCGCGTCAATGAATCCGTCTTCGATCGTAAGTATCAGGCTCCTGGATCTCGAGGTGCCATCAGCAAGGTAGCTTCGCATGCCCCAACTCAAGATCCTGGACCTCCTACGGCATCTTTATTAAAGGCCGAAGACATTCGAAACGGTCGCTCTGCCCCGAGACATTCATCTGTCCAGCCTGTGGATTCGCCACACGACAAACGGGGCTCGAAGAAATCATCTTCCCGAGCCACTAATCAACCTGCCCCGACGGCTTTATTTCACAAGTCTGCCTTTTCTGACCATGAGACAAGCTCTAATCCGTTCTCTTCCGATTCCGAAGCTTCTAAAAAGTCTCCTCCAAGGAGTCAACGCTCCCGAAAGGTCTCGCAAGTGACTTCTAAGGCTGCCGCCGATAGGTCAAGCTCAAAATCTGCGAATTGGAGGTTTCAGGAACCGAGTCCAGCCTTTTCTGATCTCGTCTCAAACACAACGCCAAGCAGGCATAAACAGAGTACTTATTGCTTTTATAAGTTATTAATACTCTTTAAGTCTTCTTAAACTTTTTACAGAGCCAGAATACTCATAATTGAGGTCTATAAGCGATACAGACCTCCCATTGGAAGTTGCTTACCCTGTGTGAGCTCCGCCCGTTTCAAAGGTCCGTTCATAACTCATCGCTGGTTAATGCAGACCTGGCATATACAAGAAGACCGCAATTTTCGATGCGTAAAACATATCATGAACTATCAACTACTTAAATGATGCGGATTTGTGCTTTGTCAATTGACCTTGCGGGCTTATTGAGGTCTTCGAGCGACAGTGAAAGGTAACTTCACAGATAGAGAACAGGATACAATACTTGGTGACCCAGCTCTATCCAAGTTAGTTATAAGTCGAGCAGCATCTGCTAGCTAGAGATAGGTCAATACCAACCAGTGTGTTTAGAAACAGGGCATCTCTTCTAGGTAGAGTTACAGAGCCACAACGAAACAGGAATGAATGCACAATAAGATGGTGATTTTATATTGACTAACTACCTTAAACACTTTGTCTAAGATAAAACCGTGGAGAAACTAGTTAAAAGAACTTCTCGAGGATGCTGAATAGTTCAGAAACACCATCCTCCCCAATATTCTCCTCCAACCATCCCTCTGCCTTCTCAACCAACATTTCCCAAGTATCCAGTTCCTCTTGCAGCTTGTTCTTGAAGAACAATACGGCACAGGCTGTAGCGAGAACATCGTCCTTCTCCGAATGGCCTTTGACTGAAGATGGGAGTGCCAACTTGGAAACCTGGTCAGAGGTCACGCCGAGAACACGCTCGAGATCGGAACTCCATGACCAGCTACCTGCAAAGGACTGGAGAGTAGTCAAAGCTTGCAATGGCTCCATATCGCTGATGGCATTTTTCTTGGGAGCTTCAGGAACAGAGGATGCAGGCATGGCAGAAAAGGCAGAAAAGGCAGCTGGCGCAGGAGCAGGAGGTCCGTCGTCAAACAATGCAAATCCCATGTCTTCACCAGACTCTTCCGCTTCTAGTCCAGCGTCAAGCGGCATCGCTGCAGCCTCAGCCATCTCTTGCTGATACTCAATGAGAAGATCTTCATCAACGCTAGCCGCAGGAGGTGCAAGCGATGTGGCTTGAACACTTGGTCGTGCAGGTGCAGAAGGAGGAGGCGGAGGAGCACTGCCGAACAGACTTCCACTTCTGCCAAATGACCCTCCTGGAGCGGCTCCGAAGAGGCCACCGGATGATCCCGTATGGGATGGGGCGGGACCGTGGGCTTGGGTGTTTGAGTTGCCGAACAGTCCTCCACCAGTGCTGGAAGATCTAGAACTTCCGAAGAGGCCACCGCTTCCAGCCGCTGAAGAAAAGTCTCGATTACGAGTTCCCGCTGTACTTCCGAATGCTGCATTACTCGAGCTCCCAAAGAGTGCTCCACCGCTGGCAGGTGGCTGGTTCGATGATCCAGCATTTAAGTAACTCATGGGAGAAGAGCTGCTACTGCGCGTTAGACCGAAGCGAGTAGCCATCATTTGTGGCACGTTACGTAGCCGAGGCTTGTCAGGTTTAGCTTCTTGGACTTCTCCCCGTTCTGTTTCACTGCCGTTATCCTCAACAGCGACGAATGAGCACCACTTGCCTCCAACTTGATACTTGACACCAAGACGCACAGCCTCGCGCTCGATCATGTCTGAGAAGTGACCATCGTACTTCTCCTTGAGGAATTTGCCGTCGGAGTCCTTGGCATGTTTGAGCCATCCCCGACCTTCTTCAAGTTCCTTGACTTCCTTTCGTGCTGCGAGACGATGAATGATAGAGTCTTTCTCAGTAACTGTGGTTATGGGGATCTCAAGTTCCAGAGGGCCATGGCTGGAGGTACCCCTAAGGATGACAGACTTGGGTTGCTGGGAAGGAGTGTCCTCGGAGAGAAGGACATAGACAGTGGTACGGTTGAAAGGGAAGAGGGGAGGAATAGTGCCAGGTGTCTGAAGATAGCGAGGAAGAGAAACCTCAGGAAGATGGTCGAACTTGTTCTCAACTTCTGGCGCATCAGTCATGTCAGTATCGTCATCGTCGTTCGCAGATGCGTCAAACAAAGAGATAGGCTTCTTTGGTGCCTCAACTTCCTTGATCTTTTCTTCAACCTCGACAGTGTCAATCTTCAGCCCGTCAACGACCTTCTCAACCAACTCAAAGTCATCTTCGGTGGAAGTGTCTGCTTTGTCATACTTGATCTCGAGAGAATAGTCGGAAATGTGAGGAAACAAAGCTCCTCGAAGCATGCGGACTACCTTCTTGTCCATCTTCTCGTCATCAGCGACCGTTTGAGCAAAGCCGTTGCCAGCTCGGGCAATACCCTCGATCAGAGAGGTACTGGCACCTGCTCCGATACCAAGGGAAAAGACTCGTGCAGTACCCTTACTATCAGCAACTTCCTTGTTGATAAGCTGGAAAAGACGATCTTGGTCCCAGATCTCACCGTCAGTGAGCAGGAAGACTTCGAGGTTCATGTCCTTGTAGCGCTTCTGAAAAGTGGCTTCAAAGGGTTGATACATCTCAGTGCCGCCATAATCGCTGTCGAAAGTCTCGACGTGCTGAACAGCCTTGTCGAGTGTCTCTTGGCTGTAGGTCTGTGACCGGTCCCAGAGGAAGCTGAAACGAGAGCCGAAACTACAAATGTTGAACTTGACGCCAACAGGAAGAGACTTTAGAAAGATCTGGAGAGCGGTTTTGAGGCCAGGTATCTGACCACCCATACTTCCACTTCTGTCACAGATGAAAACAATCTCTGGCTTGCCGGCAGGTAATTTGAACTTGGGGACAAGCGTGGTCATAATGGCGCGCTGGTTGGGAATGGTGGGGTGAGTTTCGAGAATAGCGGATGGCTCTCCAAGCTTTGTGGCGACTACTTGGACAACAAAGTCTTGTTCCAAATGAGTAGTGCTCTGTTGGAGAGTAGCAGAAGCTCTCTGGAGGGAGGGGTCCTGGGATTTTGTGGTGGAAGTGGTGCCAATCTCAACTGAAAGAGGGTGAGACGGGGACTGAATAGACTTGATAGCTGAACCGTCTGGCATCTCTGCATCGATGGTGAAAGACATTCCTTCCTTCTGTATAACATTGGACGAGGGGAGGGACTGGGAATCCCCATATCGTGGAACGATTTGTGTCGGGATAGTGAAACGAAGACCATCAACTTGAGCGTCATGCTTGAGCTCTCCAAGGTACGTGATATCGACCTGCACTTTCTCTCCGGCAGGGATATTTCCAATAGTCGTAGTGAAGGTATCAGCTGCTTCGAGGGATTGCTTGAAAAGCCCAGCGGTTTGTCCGCTGGCTTTGGCTTGATTATAGACTTGCTGAGCCTTCTGTCGTTCCTTGACTACGCCTTTGATGACGCGAGAGCCGACGGTGCAGGTGAAGGCGACGACGGATACACCGTCGTAGAGAGGAAATACATAGCGAAGCTCGTCGATGGCTTCGCCACTGGTGTTGACGAAAGTTTGGGTGAGATTGGTGCGAGATGTTGTGGCGAGAATAGTGGTATGAGCCTTGATTTGGACCTGAGGGAGGTATTTAGGCGTGTCATGGATGAAGATGTAGCAGCCACATGGGTGAGTGATCCCATGTCTGCCGATTCGTGAACCGCCAAAGAGTGACATGTTGTTTCTTGTTGTCGGTGATGATGATGACGCGGGGTAAAGGTGCTGTTGATTGGCGCCGTTCAAGACTCAAGGCGACAGCGAGATCAGATAGGAAAGACGAAGTCGTGGTGGTAGTGGAGAAGCAAGCTTGAGGCGCAGCACCGGTAACTTGACCCTACAACTGGAAAAGACGTGATGATGTTGAGATAAGTGATGAAGGAGAGGCACAGTTATATAGAGCCTCTTATATAAGCCCTGGGTGAGTTGTGAGTCAGCCCGAGGATTTGTGCCCTCAATTGACGTCGTTTGCTTAGTTGAAACGTCGATGGCTGCCTTCTCTGCCTATCAATTCTGCCTAAGCACATGATTGGCCGCCATGCGGACTAATCAACTCACACTAAAATCTGATTGGGCGAGCAAGCCACAGTTCTGCTGCCTGCTATGCCGAGTTTCCTCTTTACCTTACCCTTGCTAGTTTTCTAAAATCATGCATTGTTTGTCAGATAACATCTACAGAGTACCTTGCGTCTCAATTGCCAGCTCAGGGTTATTTTTCTGGCGGGAGGGAACCTGCACGGGGGCACAGCCACCGCTGGGGTGCTTTGTGTCGGGTGGATGACAAAGCTGAAGTTCTGCCTTGGCGCAACACTGGCCTTGATTGAGCTACCTCCACTTTCATCATCTTGTGCTGAAATGGGTTCTGTTAGGAGTTCACTGTGCTCAGTAGCCTTGCCTGAGCGACGATTTACCCGCCCCGGCGATATTGTGGATGATGCAATCTAATCCCCTGCCAAAGATTAATGATTAAAGGCGCTCAGTATTCCCTTTCAGTGAATCAGACGCATGTGGCTTGCGTCACTATATAAGCTTCTGTTGCGGCTTACGGGGCAAATTGTACGCACCAGACTATTCTAAATTCCTTTGTCAACAATCTAAGGAAATGCGGCGTGCTACTTGGAGGTAGTCCCTTCAGCCTAACAGCGGTTATGAAGTTTTAGCTGTGCGATAGACGCTGACCTATTAACATCTACCATTCTTGGATAAGTCCGTAGGCCACTTTGACAGTCAAAAAAATCGATCTAGTCCTCGTTGCAAAGGTATAACCGTATTTCTGATGACACATGGTATCTCTGTTACCCAAAGACTGATCATGAGCGTCGTGGCTTGCATCGGACATCTTTGAAGACTTTAGAACTTTGCTTCACAGAACATTGAACATCAGCCCTCCAGATGCTGGCAAGATAGCTGCAAGAGACTTTCCGTGAAGATGCGTACTGGGTGTTATCTGACATCTCTCCCGACCAGTTCCTTAGAGAAGTCGACGCGGCAGTGGAGAGTGATGGCACCACCTATCACAATGTATCAGCTATACTCCGAACAGAGCTCAGATGGTCATCTGGCTACATCAGGAAGGTCAAGAATAAAGCACTTGTTGCAGTGGGGAAAATGCATGAAAGTCCATTAACTAGAGTTTATAAATGTCATGACCGATGTTGGTTTCGTTCTGTGCCTTGGGTGTCTATAAATCGGCTCAGTTATCGCTTCCGCCATTCCACCGCGGTCCACCTGATGCTACTTGGTCTCAATACATCAGGGGAGACTCATGCGAGGCCCAAGTGCTCGGTTCGTTGAAGTGTCAAGGCCTACCCTGCGCTTCGTCGGGCATCTGCCATTCAAACGAATGGCAGCTGTCTGTCCTAAGCTTGGCTCTTAACCTTCCTATCCTTCACCTAGTGTTTCATCATAGCTTATCATCACCAAGGTCGTCGTGTTAGGTCCGAGACCAAGGGCAGGAACCAGCGCAAAAGTCTCAGAAAGACCAAGGCGTCGGGTCGGGTCGATCATGGGGGTGAGAAATAGGCGGTGAATGGCGTATTTCAGCGAGAAAACAGAGCAAACTTCTCTTGTTCATACAGCGTTAAAGAGGGGCTTTACAGGTATCGGGATAACTAACTTCCACCTTCAAAGACCATGTTGAACCGCAGCAATGGCACCGAGATGTGTTACCTGCATGTTCAAATGCATTCTTGGACTTTGTCTTAGAGTGTGACGTTTCGTAGACCCTCCAGTCTTGTATATACAGTAGTGTAAGGGATACAATACAGTCGGGGTTGAGATTGCGCCAGCTATTGGCTGCTGAGCACAGCCAACTCAACGGCCCTGGTGCAAACATCTTGGCCATAAGTGATCATACCAAAGAACTCGCACGGGCGAGGAGTCTCGGCTTCCATTTGGCCATCGATACAGACAGACAGCTTGCCGAGGGTGATAACCCATGCGACAAGAAGAAGACAAGGCACTGGACACAGAAGTCAAGGAAGACGAACAGCCATCCTACAAAGCAGTTACTCTGCCCAGAGTCTTCTCTTGTATTCACAACTTCATCCCACTAGATGCCTGGCGTATCGACTTCCACGAAGACGACAACAAGAGCCTTGCCGCCACACTCGACTTGAGAACGATTTTAGGCGAGATTTCTATTCACAAGGTTCACAACACCAACACCTGCGAGGAGCAAAGATTCACTAGTTCGTCAATCATATGCTTCTGGCCGTCAGGTTATGGTTGGTGACTTCAACCTCCAGGGAAGGCGGCAGGGCAGGATATGATTGGCCATCAAGCGGGCTCGCGAGCAACTCGTTCCTTTTATCACCCGATTATTCAGCGTCTGCTTCGAATTCTCATCCCTCTCTCCCATGTTCCGACTCACTGTTACTGTTGTGCTGCCCAAGGCCGGCAAAGAATCCTATGTCACTCCCAAGAGCTGGCGCCCTAGTGCCCTTCTTCCGAGTTTCGGCAAGCTCTTAAAGAGAATTGCCGCCGGTTACCTCATGGGAATTGCTATTGCATACTCTCTTCTGCCGAGTATACAGTACGGCGCGCCCGGAATGACAACTACTCATGCCGTTCAAGACATCCTGAAGCCTGTCTACGAAGCGTGGTCGGGGAAGCCAAATAGACGAGCAAAAGGATGCTGATGGAGGATGCGGAGAAGGGCTTCCCTCATTGGGATTGACATATCTGCTGCTTATGACAACGTCGACCGACAGAGGCTTCCACAGATCCTTGCCGACTTGGGTTTGCCTGAGTGGTATGTCTGTTACATTTAGTCCTTTCTATCCTAACACCGAACACCCTTCACGTGCGAAGCTTATTTCTGCTTCCCCATCCACCACTAACCTCGCTGCGCGCCCCAGTTGCCCTCTTATGGCCTCAGGTCATGATTGATCGCACTTGTATAGCTAGCTTGTGTTTCTTTGCCAGTCATCCCCTTGAATTGGACGTCTTACTAACTGTCGTATTTAGCCCATCTACAGGTTCACGAGAACCAGGTGCGCCAGCGGTATCAGGCTCATGATCCCGGTGCTGTACGGGCTGTAAGTACTATCAGTTGATACAGCCAGCGACTTGACTAATACTGCTACTTTAGGGTCCTGAACGTGTTGAGGTGCTGATCTGTTGTGCCCGGAGCACGAGCTTGTCTCTGCTTGGCCTCCAAGAACCGTATCTCTCTTTTGAGCCAGGTTCGGACGTGGTTGGGATAGAGAGACGGGAGGCGGAGGATCTTGCACTCGAAGGTGACTAGGCGTAAATCATACTCTGATACCGGAACTTCTTGCAACTAACATAACTCCTCCTTGAGTGAGCAACTGTTTATCTGTCTGATTATTGAGGCTGATTGCTGATACCTGCCTGGCTTCCCTTTGTAGCTTTCCTTTAGCTTGAGGGGTAACGAGCTGGTGGAGCGCTTCTACGATCTCTGCATCGGGAAGCTGCATATCCCGGTCTTAGTCATAGCCACCTCGGGTCGGTTGCAGGCTTAGTCGACGGAGTAGGCACCTTACGCAGCTCTGATTGATGTTTGTCGTGTACTCGTCATGGGTGCCTTCCACCCAGTGGATACCGGTTGCGGGTTGCTCAAGTTCGACATCTTGACTATGATTGAGGTCAGCGCTGTTGATCCAATGGTACGTCAATGCTATATTCCCATCCTTTCAAGGTCGACTGCTAACCTTGTAGAGAAGTAGTCGGGGCGGATGACTTGCAGATAAGTAAGTGGCCCATACTCAAATTTTGCACGATGTCATTCTAACGGTTAAAGCGGAGGCTTGGTTGGTTGCTCGACGATTTCGTGATCGTCGCGACGAGTATGTAAGCGATCAAAGGATATTTGATGGGCCAAAAGCTGATTTATAACTGTACAGCTTCAATGGATTGTGAAAGATTGAAGTTGTGAGGGACTCGCAGACTCGGTCGGTGAGTACATTTACCCTTCTCGCTTTTGCATGACAATCGCTGACAGGCGGATTGGCTTGAAGAGCTTTTTTAAGCTTCAGCTGGTCAGGCGATGTGTTCATCTTGATTAGAGTTGCCTGAGATGCTGCAGCCTGAAGGTAACCTTATTGATTAAGTTTACTGAGTCTTCAGTCTGACTAGAGACTCTATTATTGACATTTTTGTGCTGTTGTTGGAATACCTGGATCTCATTTATTCGTTGTTACTAGGTTAGCTGTGCCCACAAACTTTCGTATGTAGATGGATAGGTGGATAGGTGGATGGGAGAATGAGGGGAAAGGTGGATAGAAAGGACGAATAAAAGAATTCGACCAAGCGACAGCGCATAAACTTTTAGGCGCTGGTGGCTCTGACCCCGCCATCGTAACTTTAACCTCCTATGATTAATGCGGTAGATGTCCTATAAAAACCCCACATCTCCCCACTCAGAACGACGAAACTGGGCTTAGCATAGCGTTTTTGCTTCGACCAGCATCATGTCAACCAACCGAAGTTTCCTCAATTTCCCGTTGGAGCTGCGGTCGCAGATCTATCGCGATTACTTCCAAGTCGACGGCGGATACGTTTACGATGCGAAGTCCGACAAGCTCAAGACAGCGAATAACGAGCCGATCGACCTCTCCCTCATCTACGCGTGCCGTTCCATCGCCAATGAAACCAAGCATCTCCCGTTGTCCCTCAACTCCGTTACCTTCTCGACTCTATATCGCGAAGATTGGCGATGTCTAGCTGGCTGCTTTAATGTTGTTGCTACGTACTATCGCCACTTGGAGTCGGACTTTGTCCTTCATCTAGCCGAGTTCATGACACCTGAAATGCAATCGCAGCTCGCTTCGAAGTACCCCGATTTCACCCACGAACTTGAAACCGCATCGACAGACCATCTACAGCGTTATCCGATTGTTTACGATAATGACACCAACAACCAGGCGGCTGGCGGTGAGGACTCCTTGCGGGGATCTGCCTCCGGAGGAGCTCACTGTCGTGAGATCGGATACTTTCTCAAAAACTGGGTCGATCCAGGCCATCATTACACCGGGTTCTCCAGGATTCATCAGATCCGCGGCCCAGGACATCCTTCACGGATCTGCTCTGCAACTTCCTGTGAGATCAAAAATCCTCTGTCGTACTGTTTGCAACTCATGGCAGAGCAGAAACCGGTCGAGTTTGCTAATCACATTGGTTCAACCTTTCCGCATTGGACTGGAGCAGATCCAGTACAGGAGTTTTTCGATCTACGATTCGATGACTGGGCCGTTCCATCTGAGAGCGAAGTGAAACGTGCTATCAGACTCTTAGGGCTTGGTGATATCTGGAGATTTCCGGATATGTGGTATGCCAAGCCAAGTGACGATCGCGATTATATCGACGACTATGATAGTGACGAAGAGCAGGACGATGCTGACCATGGTGGAGAAAGCGATGAAAACGAAACAATCATTACTTCTCCTGACCATGATCCTGACAACCATGGACGTGCTCCTCAGGGTGTTCGTTGTCGAGAAAAGATCCGATTCTCAGCCGCTGCTAGTGCCATTAGGTTCCTCGAACGGATTCCCAGTCAGCGTACTCTGTTGAAGAAGATTGTATTACACGAAGACTTCAAATCTGTGAACAACCCGGAGACTCATGCTCAGGGTCTAGCCACTTTCGTCAAAGAGAATTCCTCATTGCAGATTGTGCGTCGTGTCAGCATGCTGGATTGCATTTTTGGAGTCGCGGAAGGCCCTCGCGCCGTATCAACCTATCTACACCGCGGTCGGGAAAGACAACAGAAGCTGCACAAAAGGCTATTTTCTTTGAGGATACTCCCATGGCTCAAAGAGGCGATCGCTGTGGAAGAAAGACAAATCCCGGCCGAATCATTTACGGTAGTCCTAGAGGCGGGAGCACACCAGGACTACTGTACGGATCTATTCCAGCGTCTACTCCATCGAGATGTTGCCTGGTGTCGGACACAAGAGGTGTTGACTGCGCGCGGCACACTATCTCTGCGACCGTCAGACCGCTTCCACGATAGGATAGGTGCTCAAGACTTGGAAGCCATTGATCAACTGGTGAACCATACTTCGAAGACTTTGTCTGCTGACTTCAACACCGGCGTTGCATGGGATGTCCAGGCTCTAGTCCAGCAAACCCAACATTTTGACAGGGGCAATTGGCTCATCAGATGGTTCGTTCATGATGGAGTCCGATACGAAAGACTGGTCCTTGATCAGACTTACAAGGACAGGGTGGCTGAAGTTTTCGAGATTGAGATGTGAGATGGCAGCCATATTTTGCAGTAAAATTTAAGCTACAGATTCCAGTGAGACGCTGGACGGAGAAAATTAGGTAGGTCTGTTAGATATTTCTGTAGTGCCATGAAATGTAGTGCGGAAATCCCTCCTCCACGTTGATTAAAATAAATAAACTACAGAGGTAGGTTTTACATTATTTTCATTGGCCCTTATATTCGCCCAAATTGCCTCTTAATAGCGCATTAAGCCTCTCCTATACTAAAACAACAGCGCAGTTGATAAAGCATATAATACAGAGGATAATTCCATCGTCTATCGTGTCATTGATGTCTGCATGAAATTGTTTTGTTATTTCTAGGTATTCCCTAAGATGTCCCCTCCTGATAGGCAGATGTGCCTAGCATATATTCTGAGCATTCGAATGGGAAGCTAATAGGATATATCCTTGATAAACTTATATCAAGGATCATCCAATGCCCCTCAGCATTTAACTCTTGATGCGCACTCAACAGTCCTGGTCTTCAGAGCCTTTGAAAGTTATTCTTCTAATCGGACTTACACCAGGGAGATCCAGTATAGTGTTCAATCTCTGAACATTCCTAATGCGGCTACTCACTATACAAATCAGGAGATTAAAGGTCATGCTACCATCTGAAAGCCCTCTTCAAGAAAGCGTAATTATTCCGATAGCCGACAGAGTTATTCTGTACATCTTTGGTAAGATTGTAACCACCAGCTTTGAGTAGGTATAGGATAATTGACTAGCCATGATTTAGTTATGACAAGACGTTATATGTTGATGCAGGAAAGCTCTATATCATCACGCTGTGCAGGGTTGACGCCATCTGAGTTGCGAATTACCGACTATAAGACCCTGATTCTGACAGGCTGTTATCCTAGGCAAGGCAAATGCCTCTGCCTAGCTTAACTCCGCAGTCTTCTTATTATGCCTCTTCTTACTGGGCTTCTTCTTAAAGCTATCTTCAGTCCCTAAAGAGGTAATTTTCTTCTTAAAAAGGAGGTTTTCTTTAATTTTTATAGAGGGGACTTTATAATAACCCTCTGGAGAGGCCTGCAGCCAGCTTTACCTTTAGTGACCCTTTGGGGACCCTACTGGAGGCCTCCTTAAGCAGAGGGCAACTTACTCTATTGCCTATAGCTCTAGAAACGGCTTCTAATTAGCTGCTGACCTCACTGAGGCTCAGTCCCTTATAAATGGCCCCACTTTAAAGAGGAAGGACCCTGCAGGTTTTCAACACATAGGATTGGCTAATGGCTAAAGATTATTTACCCTCTAACTAATAGCCAAGGAGCTTTTCTATTAATGCATTTATAACTAGGCATCTATTAAAGATGTAAATCCAGAAGGTGCCTTTTTCACATCATTCTTAAGTCAACTTCTATGCCCGGATTTGCCTAATCAAGGTATTAGAGCCAAAGATGTACATGGAAAGAGCAATGCTTTGCTATATAGATGGAAAGCTGCTGTCCTTGAAGTAAGACAGAAGCATTAATCACGAAACATGGAAAGATATCATAACGTGCAGCACGTCTTGCGTCTTGATTACACATTTACGCATGAACTATTGTATTGCTTCACAGGGCTAGGTATCTGACCCTCAACATTTCCCAACTTCACAGTTCTCTGAAGCAGCGCGGAATCAATAATGCAACATCATATAGATACTAGCGTTGTTATGTATTTCGACAACGCCCAGCCATCCAATGTTTCCCTCGTAGGTTGGGAGGTCGCTCCGATTTAGAACTCATAGTACATTTACCTTTCCGAAATTACGATGGCTCCGCCATGGATGGGCTAGACTTGGTGAAAGAGGTCTCGGTCATGACCATGGACGATATGCCCTGCACATCGATGGAGCCAAAGTACAGTCACCTTACGCCAGGGCTAGATGGGTTTTCATGTGAAGGTCATAACCATTGCCATTAAGATGAAACGTCAAAAGAACGAACTACTCAACAGGTTTCTGGTTCTCCCCATAAGCTAAGTTATGCACTTCTTCTTGAGAATAAAAGCTTTTTAATCATTAAACTCGCCATTTCAAATTCCTTCCAGGGATTCCTGTCGTTAAAACTCTGTCATGCATAAGAAACGACCAGACTTGCAACACTGCGATGCATTTTCCAGCTCAAACTGGAGCAGATGCTACTTGGTCTTAACAGGTTATCACAAAGAAAAGGCAACAAAGCCAGTACGAACTCCAAAGCCCTCATGCAATGCTGTGTCACAGAATTGTCTTCAGGTCAGCCATCTCCTGTGTTGCAAGTGTGAAGGGGGGAGATCAAGCGTACCTAGTCGAGCTCAATTGGATCATCGACTGACCCGCCGCTGGACGCCAACGCGATGTTTGGGAGAGGGTCCGGTTCGGCACTCTCTTGCTCTTCCTTGATAGCTTCATTAGGCTCGTCGTCATCAAGCACAATGGGATCATTACCGACAGACCCAGCAGCAGGCGATGTTGAAGGAGACGCGACCCTGCGATAATCCTCATTTTTGTCGCACTTGATAGCTCCATCTGTCCACTTGCAGTTCGCACATCAGCCCTTGAAATTTTCGGGGGCTATCCTGCAATCTGTGAAGGGCGTCGGACATCCACCATTTTGCTGCATCTTACGAACGCACTCACTGCAAGGGTCGACCAAAACACATCTGCTCTGAACGAGCAAAGCATTGATATACGACGTATGGACGTACTTGCTGGTCATAAGGTTAAACTTTAGGCTGCTAACACAGCTGGTAAGAACACCACATCTTTTTTCACAATATAAGCTTCTGTTCATATACGAGGACCTCATACGATTGACCTGGTCAGTTCCGACTCTGCCCTTCCGAAATCTAACGGCCTGGTCGTCTTGTAGCATAAGCCTGCAATGGGCTTCGTTCAATTGAGTTTCCTCAAGCACCTGTCCAGAGACGTCAAAGGTTTCGGATTCGTCTGCATCGGATTGTATCGCGAGCCTCATAGACTGTAAGGTGATTAGCATCATTGCAGAGACATATGTTGGTTAACAGGCTAAGATTAGAAAGATCCATAGAATCAGTAACGCGAAGTTACATCTGTTGATTGAGAGGAAAAGAAAAGAAGGTGGGGGGGAAAAAACAATTAGTTATTGTTAGCTAGAGTGATGAATCTGGGAATAGCTTCAATTTGTCCAAGCCGGAATTAGTTATTGTCAAATCGACTCTTCCAAAAAAAAAAAAAAAAAAAAAAACCGATTGGCCAATCGCCAAGAACCCACTGAGCTAAACTTTTCGTCTTGGCTCAAACCCAGCTGACAGCCCCTGCTGATGAATTATGACGATGCCCAGAAAGAAAATAAGAACCACTAACAATGACAGAGCGGGCATCGTGGGGATACAGCGGGGAGAATGGGCCAAGCTTAGCGTGGTGTGACGGCGAACTCCCCGCATTTGCTTGTGACACTGCATCACGAGTTAACTCAGCCTCAATCATATCATAGCGCCCACCAACAAAGTCGGGGGAGGGGTCTAGACGTAGGGCGGTGAGACACCAAAGGCGCGTGAGCAACAGGGGTCCAATTGAGATGAAAGAGTAGGTATCACATGCAGTAGAGTCGATGATGGTGACAAAAGAATGGAATGAACTAAACATTAGAGATGAGACATTTTGCGAGATCTACAGTGTCAATTCAACAAGCTTTTCTCCACTGTTACCGTGACCCTTAGCGACCGCCATCTTTGACCTCGTGCACCAAGCCAAGATGCATCCAAAGTCTCAGCTACAACGCCCGTATCAATTGTGGGTGCTTGCAATACCTACCGATACGCCCGCAATGGACTTGATTATCGTGACACTGACACAGACACAGACACAATCACAAGCCTTGTTGTTTCACCCAAGCCAAGACCATTCTAGACTGTTCCCCAACTTCTCCACCGAATAACCTCTAGCTAAGCGCTGCACTTTACTGGGCCATGACACAAAGAATAGAACAGAATAGAACGTTTGATCCAATAAATCACTTGTTATTCTCACCAAATTGTATTGCGGAGTGAATAACCAGGAAATAAACCTTGTATGCAGCATCTATTGCAGAGGCTAGAGCGGTAACGCGAGAAAAACGGCTCTTGAACAAGGGCTATTCAGGTTTAGCGTCAGCACCCTCCATTACGACAGCCTAGACCTTTAGCTTTCCCCCCGCCCTGACCGCCCTTGGAAACAGCACCAACCTCCACCTCCATTTCATTCTTCTTGACCTGGTCCCCCAAACACAAAAAAGGGCTGGCGATCCCTTCTTCTCCCTCCTCTATTAACCTTTCACCGTCTGCGCCTCCTCCGCACTCGACCCATCGTCCCCCCCCCCCCGACACCGAAGCGACGCGAGCGTACCCTCGATCTCTCGACAGCTCAGCCCAGCCCAGTCGCCATGTCTTCCACTGCGACTGCTGCAGCGGCTGCTGCCACGGGCGCAAGGCCCCAGGGCGGAATCATCGAAGGCCTCAATCCGATCCACTACAATCCGAAAGACCCCATCTCCCTCTTCATCGTGCAGGCCTTCATCATCGTCATTTTCTGCCGCCTGCTGCAATGGCCCCTCTCCAAGTTCGGCCAGCCGCGCGTCATCTCAGAAGTCATCGGCGGTATCGTCCTCGGTCCGTCTGTAATGATGCGCATCCCCGGCTTCAAGGAAAACATCTTCCCCACCGAGTCCATGCCCATTCTCAACACCGTCGCCACCATCGGTCTTTTGCTCTTCCTCTTCCTCGTCGGTCTCGAAGTCGATACGCGCATGTTCAAGTCCAATTGGCGCGTCGCTGCCAGTGTCGGCCTCGCCAGTATGATGCTGCCCTTTGGTCTTGGTGTTGCTGTTGCCTGGGGCTTGTATGAAGAATACGGCGACGAGGGAACCATGAAGGATATGGAGTTTGGCACCTTTGCTCTTTTCATTGGAACTGCCCTCGCCATTACCGCGTTCCCTGTTCTGTGCCGTATTCTTTCTGAGCTTCAACTCCTTGGGACTTCGGTCGGTGTCACTGTACTTGCTGCGGGCATTGGCAACGATGTTGTTGGCTGGGTTCTTCTCGCTCTGAGTGTCGCTCTCGTCAACAACGCCAATGGCCTCACAGCGCTCTATGTCTTCTTGACTGCAGTAGCTTGGGTTCTCTTCCTCGTTTTTGCTGTCCGCCCTGCCTTTCTTTGGGTTTTGCGCCGCACCGACAGTATCCAGAATGGTCCGTCCCAAGGTATCACTACCTTGACTCTTCTTCTTGTCTTGGCCTCGTCTTGGTTCACTGGTAAGACCACTCTTCCCATTCGCTGTCATGTCTGACAAACTCTAGCCGCCATCGGTGTTCACGCCATTTTCGGTGCTTTCCTCGTTGGTCTCATTTGTCCGCATGACGGTGGTTTCGCTATCAAGTTGACAGAAAAGATTGAAGATCTCGTCGGCTCTATACTTCTGCCACTTTATTTTGCCCTCTCTGGTCTCAACACCGATCTTGGTCTGCTCAATGATGGCACTACCTGGGGATATGTCATTGCCATCATTGCATGCGCTTTCTTTGGCAAGATCATTGCCGGTACACTGGCTGCCCGTCTCACCAAATGTCTTTGGCGAGAAAGCTTGACTATCGGCGCCTTGATGAGTTGCAAAGGTCTTGTTGAGCTTATCGTCCTGGTAAGTTACCCGTCACTGGCGAAAAGCATTGATCTAATAACTCTAGAACATTGGTCTTCAAGCTGGCATTCTCTCACGTCGAACCTTTACCATGTTTGTTGTCATGGCAGTAGTAAGTTTCTCGTCTTCACTCCTCCAATTCCCCGCTGATTGAGATAGGTTACCACCGTGACAACCTCCCCGCTCACCAGATGGCTCTACCCTCTCTGGTACCGCCAAAAGGTTGACAAGTGGCGCCGAGGCGAGATTGACTGGGACGGAAACCCTCTTGAGACTGAGGCTCAAACATCTGAGCACAAGATGGAAGAGGCCCTCGACAAGTCCCAAACTCATCGCCTCATTCTTCATCTCCGCCTCGACGCCCTTCCTGGACTATTCAATCTTGTATCGCTTCTCGGAGGGTCTCGAAAGATTACCCATGCTCTTCCAGACTTAAGCAATGAGGCCGTCGATTCCACTTCTGAAGAGAAGACTCAGTCGATTCCCAATCGCCCACTCGAAGTTCGTGGCGTACGCCTGATGGAGCTGACTGATCGTACATCTTCAGTCATGCAGTCTGCCGAACTTGATGAATTCGCTTCGCGTGATGCTGTCTTCTCCGCGTTTCAGACCTTCTCTCGTCTCAACGGTGTCGCTGTTGCTGGTCAGGTCTCTATCATTCCTACCAACGCTTACGCAGAGACCATCGTCAAGTATGCCGAGGAAGCCAAATCCGACTTCATGCTCATTCCCTGGAGTACCTACGGAGGTCTGGCCGAGGAGAGTTCTACTGCGGCTGCGCTGACCGAGACTGGTAACCCCAACGACCGCTTCTTTAGTAGAACGTATATCGACTACGTCGCCGCCGCTGTTCAACGCTCAACCTGCACAACCGGTATCTTCATCAATCGCAATCCTCACAGCGACGCTTCATCTAAGAGGCCAACTCTTACCCGAACCCGTACCGGTCTGTCAGTTCACAGCGCCCACGACGGCGCCATCATCCAGAGACCCGTCGACCAGCGCCAGAGCATTTTTGTGCCCTTCATCGGTGGCAAAGACGATCGCGCCGCTCTCCTCTTCGCCCTTCAACTTGCTCACAACCCTCATGTCTCAATCCACGTCATCCATCTTAACTTTAACGAAGACGAACACGATGCTCACATCACCCCCGACGATAAGAACATCGACGGTGTCCCCTCAGCCAGTGACTTGGATCTTCTCAACACAGCCAAGAACAGCGCCTCCGGAAAGCTCGAGGGCCGAGTAAACTTTGTCGAGATCACCGTTGACTCAGTACGCAACCTTCCCGACCTCGCCGTATCTCACGCTCGTGAGACCGTTGGCAAATCTCGCCTGAGCGTTGGCGATTTGATCATCGTTGGTCGTGCGCACTCGCTCTTTGACAACCTTGTCGTTGAGGACTTTGGTGTTGAAAGGGACTTTCAGCATACGGTCGGTGTGCTGGGCGATAAGTTCGCGAGAGCTGGAATTGATGCTGGACTGTTGGTCATTGATGATAAGCAGGCCAAGGTTTAGCCTTTGGATAAGGTCTGAGATTTGTTTTGTTTTCTATTGGCATTTGAAATTGGATGTTGGATGAGGATTGTGCGAGTGTTGGATTTGTTATTGGGATATACCATATTTGAAAGGGTTGGATACGATTTATGAATACATACTTTTGGTCTTCTTGAACTCTGGTTCTCCCGTACATCATTGCCATGCACTTCTAGAGCCTTTGACGCCTGGTGACAATGCTGCTGATTAATGATGAGTATTGCGTGCATTGTGAGGTACTGTTCTCCTCGTGTGATTGCTGTGTCTTTGGCTTGTTGCTGGAGGCTCTTAATTAAGCCTTGGGTTTGCGTCAGCTCCGTCTTTAGCGTGTCGACATGACCTTTTGTTTCGTTGAAAGCGGCCAGGTCATTCTTGAGGTTTGAGACCTGAGCCTGGGTGTCTTTGAGTTCGTTACGTGATGCAGCGAGTTCTTTCTTGAGCTTATTGACCTCGCCTGTCTTTGTTTCGGGTCGGTCGGTCATGTGATGAATTAGAGCTAGGTAGAAATGCAGTGCTGCAAAGTCTCGGCTTGCAATCTGTTCTTCGGCTAAAGAAGCCCCTCCTCTGGTAAATATTAGAATACATGATAGCTTCCCCAGGTATTGCTTGTTGTTACCTGGTGGTTATCGGAGCCGTCGTGGGGTTGGAAAACGACGAAACGCGTCAAGAAACGTCCCTTGTTAGGAGACGACATGATCAAGCGACTTTCGAGTGAGTAAGTGGGAGTGTGATATCAAGATTGAGCGGTGCGGAGGGCAAGAGAGAGATTGAAATTTGGTTACTGTGGTAGGCTGAGACAGGAGAGAGATGTTGCGAGGGAACAAAAGATGAAGTTTACAAAGTTCTTGGGGCCGATAAGGTGAAATGGGGGAGACGGAGACGCGCTTCTCTAAATCAAGTCACACAAAGCTTGAGCTGAATCATTGCACTTGATCAACGCTCCGAGATCGCATGTTGTTCTCACTTCTGTAAAACACCCTCCGCACTTCGAATTCACACTAACTATCGAGATCCTGATACTTATCTCACACTTCTTTCTCTCTTCCTCGTTCTCAGAAACCCTTCAACGTATTTGACAGCCCTTCACTTGCGGTTATTCAGTCACCTCATCTCACTTTACTTCAAATCTTCAACCAACGTCTTCACTGAACACCATGTCATCTCAACGCCCCAGCAATTCCTCAGAGGACATTTCCAGGAAAGAATCCTCCGAATTGAAGAAGCTCCATTTCGTCGCTTCATTCGAACACCAGAAACTTCTCGAAGATGTCAGCAACAAGGCCTACGACCTCGGCGTCAAAGCCGGCCTTCAACAGGCGGCTCAGCCCGACAAAGAAGCTCAAGTCATCATTCTGAGCCTCACAGACCGCAATGACGAGCTGGAGAAGCAAATCAAGGGTCTAGCAACTGATGCGATGCTGGACCTTGCCAAGGATGTTCGTAAGTACACAAGCCCTACTTTACCTCACAAAGGTCTAATTACAGGTTCAAGCGACAATGTCACTTCGGCGCACCGCGCCGTGAGCTCTGCTGCCCATGCTCATGGTCTCACACGCAACGACTATCGAATCCTTAGGGAGTCATCCAGTCAGCTCTCAGAGCTGGAGGATAAGTGCAAGGAGCGGGTTGAGAAGATCTCGCTTTGGCCATATTAGATTTAATCGTAAACAATGCACCAGCATCCAAAACCTCCTGCGGCACTTGGTAGTTGGTTTCGTCTGGTTCTCGCCTTGCAGCTGAGTCCACGGCGTCTCATTGTTGTATCATGATGCTGTTGCTTGAGCCATCCTGACCCAGCACCTGTCAACAGTGGCAACGCTCACTTACTCATGAGCACCTACAAACGCGCTCAATTCCTTCAAGTCTCCTCTCATTCCTCTTCATCCACTCCAACCTCTTCATCTTCACCTTCCCAAAAGCCCATCATCATGTCTCGTACCATCAAACTCAATCGCAAACCTCTTCCATCTCCAGTCTCTGAATCCCTCACATCTTCCTCGCCTCCAAAAATCCAACCTTGTAACCCAATCCATCGTTCCTCCAAGAGCTGCCCCATCTGCAAAGCCACGCTCGTCAACCACAACGGCAGTCTAGCGCGTCACATCAAGCGCCATGCAAAACTCGCCAAAATCGAGGTACTAACCTTTTCCCCTTCTCATTTCTCACCTCTCACCTCTAACATTTCATCAGGCTGTAAACATCGAGATCGATCTTCCCCGAATGGACGCTCCTGACTTCGACGTCACACTCGCTCAGAAAATGTGGCAGTCAGTTCCTGCGAGGCGTCGCGCAACTGGCGGTGTGTTTCTCGACGGACCGCTGGCCGGAGAGGGTTTCACTGAGGGGATGCCAGCTGTATTCCTCCCGAATGGACGAGTCAAGCCGAAGTGGGCGTGGATTAAGAAGGATCTTGATGCGAGGGTTGGACGTGGACCGCTGAGGGCTCTGAAGAACGCGAATGCCAACGCTGGATCCCTCCTTGACAATGAGGATTACATTAGAATCTGATGAGGCGTTGAGTGACCTCTCTTCTACGAATCGGTCAGTGAAGGAAGGTTGGAGGATTGTTGGCTACGGATAGTTGAAGGGCAACAGGTTCGATGGTGTTTCCATATTATTCCCGGAATCCAAGCTACATTCAATGTTGGCTCAGACGATTGGATCTTTCTGGGGTGATCAGCCTCAAGTCAACATGATTTCACCAAATCAAGACCCAGTCAACGAGTGTTTGATGGTGTATATATCACATCAAAGTAGAACAAAGCGCCTGGTAAATCATTTCTATCACTAACACAGATGATTTTGAATTCAAACATTGTTTTCTACAAAGACAGTTCAAAGAGCAAACAAATTTCATCACGTCAAGACACTCAAATGGTAAAGTCATGTAGTATGTATTGTCATTGCTCAAACAGGCAATCCTAATCATAGACTATGGTGGTATCTCAACTAAAGCGATAGCAATTCTTACAAGTAGAAGGCAGTCACATCTTCTCAATGTCCCTAGGAGCAGCGGGCTCCTCATGCTCCTCCGCAACCTTGTTCTCCACGGCGTTTGGCTGGTAGGTACCCTTGTACTCAGACGCCTTGAGCATGTTCCACTTGTCCTCCTCAGCGTCTAGATGCTTGAAGTTGAACCAGAAGGCAACACCACCGACGAAAGCGATGACGGCAACGACGGTGTAGTTCCAGACGAGGAGAGGGTCGTCGGAGAGAGGGGTGAAGGCCTGACCGACGGCGGAGGCGAAGGCGGACATGAAGAGGTTGACGGACATGACAAGGGACTTCATGTTGTCGGGGGCCTTGGAGTAGGCGTACTCGTAGGATGTGACGTTGGTGAAGATCTCGCCAAGACCGATCAGGATGTAAGGTAGGCACTGAGCCCAGACGTTGATGTCGGCGGGAGCACAGTCTTTACCGTTGGCATACTTGCCGCAAGGGCTCTTTTCATAAATAAAATGTTGCATACTTTGACTGTTAGTTCAATGCTTTGAGCGTCGAGGGTTTGAAACACTTACACAGCAGACGCAACCATGGCGAGGGCGGAGATCAAGAAACCGACTGTCATACGCTTGATGGGGGTGAAGGCGATACCCAGCTTGCGGAGACCAGGGTACAGAAGGTGATCAATGAGAGGAACCATGATGACGATAGAGATGGGGTTCAAGTTCTGAATGACATCGTTGGGAACACCGTTGAGAACCATGGTGGAGGCCTGAGTGGTGAGGTTACCGGTCATCTGGTTATAAGCCAGATGGAAAACAGGCAAGTAAAGGAAGACCTTGCAGGCCATCAAACCACGACGGACCTCATCGACCCAGGCATCGTCGTAGGTCATCCAAGCAGGGCGCTGATCAACAGGAATCTGAGAGGGCTTGGCATGCTCCCAGTTGAAGCTGAAGAAAGAGCTGCGCTTACGGACGTAGAAGAACATGCGCAAGAACTTGGAGAGGACGGAACCAGTGGCTGGCTTGAGCTTGTACTTCTTCTTGTTGAGGGCGAGGACGATGGGGGCGACGAGGAAGAAGATGGTGGGGATGAAGAAGGCGAGCCAGAAGGAGTGATACTTCTCAACGTAGACCATGGCGATCTGACCGCAGACGGAACCGATGTTGATGGCGAGGTAGAAGTAGAGGAAGACACGAGTGTTGGTCACGGCAGGATCGACAATGACACGCTCGCCGTTGCGGACCTCGACGCGCATCTTTGTGTCCTCGTTCTGATCAGCAAGGAGAGGCGAGACGTTGGCCTTGAAGAAGCCAGTCCCGACGCAGAGAACAATGAGACCGACGATGAAGGCACCAAAAGCGGGATCCTTGCGGACGATGACAGAGGGAGAAGAAGCGGCGACGAGGATAACATGAGCGCATGTAGAGACGGCAATGGCGATGTGAAGAGTGAGGAAACGACCGAGCTTGGCATCTGCAATCCAGGCACTTGAGAACGTTAGCAAAGACAGACATCGAAGCAAGATGAGATTAGACGACTTACCCAACAAGGGGCATGAGATAGGCAAAGAACTGGTTGAACAGAGAAATACCCTGAGCAGCCTTGGGTCCCATACCAAGAGCACCAGCCTGAGCTTGAGGATCGTTAGGATCAACCGGCGCACCCGTGTTCGAACCTTCAGGCATTGACTGCGCGACAAAGTTGGTATACAGCACCGCAGAACCATAGTACGAGAAGCGCTCGCAGGCCTCTACGAACGCAATGGTGTACATGGCCCACTTGATCTTTCCCGAGACGCGACGCAGCGTCTGGAGCTCCTCCTCTGTAGGAAGCTCATCGTCCGAGTCTGAGACGGAGTGCTGGCGGGTGACGTCGATGGAGCCCTTGCCCGCGATCTGGGGAATGCCGTGAGTCTCTGGGTCGGCGAGACCAGCGCGGGCGATGGCGTCTGTGTCGAGGTGACCTGCGGTGGTCATTTTGACGAGCTTCGTATGAGAAAGAGAAGGGAAGAGGATTGAGAGAGATGAGAAGCCTGACTCTGGGAGTGAGAAGGGCGGGGGGGATGAGAAGGATAATTATACATGAGACGATAGCTAACCCAAGAAGCAATCACTCCATTATGGGTCCTCCTCCTGCCCCATTGCCACCTTCTAAAAACCGAACGTTGACGATCCCAGCTTGATACAGTAACAGAAAACCCCAGAGTCGCAGGCGCAAAGTAACCTTAGACAACAGAGTTGTTTAGTGGAGACCGACCTTATCTGTGGCGAGAACCAATGAGGGAGGACGTTTACGACAAAAGTTCCTTGGGGTTAGGCCGTATGCGGGGATTGGCCCGAGCACTAGTTTGTAGGGGATCGGTCCTTTTGCCATGATACCCAACCGGGAAGGTCGACATTCTCGTAACGTCGGCCGAAGACGAAGTGGAGGTTTTGTCAGTGATGCTTCTGTCTTTTGTTCTCGAACACTTTAGATGGCAGTGTCTGTTGACTTGACCCAGAGAAGTGGTTTGCTATCAGGGTATAACCTGGTATGCGATGCTCTAGAATTGCAACAGTAACATTACCCAATGCAAATAGTTTATTCAAGATGTCGTGGCGTTGAAGTGCCTCGGCATAGACGTCGGATCTGGGCGTTTTCCGGCTCCGAATATTCTTATTCCAATTTCTTGGCTGCCCTGCCATTGGGGCCAAGCCACCAACCGCGGATAACGATCCCGACACTGTGGCTTCCTCAGCCGCCAATCCGCCAAGAGTGCTGAAACCAATTCGCCTGACTCGGCTTTACAATTGGATGTTGGTATTCGCCATAAAGATCAACATCGCCTCTCCGTTTCGCCATGGGAGACAACGTTGAGTGGTGGCTTGAGCGTGTCATCAGGTCTTGGCGATGACATTTTGAGGGGCAAGTGTCGCGTGCTCGTTTATCACTTTCATTTCTTCAAGATCAAATTAAATCAAGACAATAAAATATTTTACATGTCTCATAGGCCCATATCTCAATTAATCATCTCATCTCATTAGAACCCTTCTCCAAATCTCCAAAATTGCCTGATCTAAGCACCTCATTCCAACATCTTCTCCTTGGACCTCCTTTTTACCCTAAAGTTCATGCAACGGTAACCTTCCTAAACCGGTTAAACTGGTTACAGCTTCGGGAATGCCACCAACTATTCCCGCCTCAGCTAAACGAATTTTCACTTTTGCCGGTCGAGGTCAAGTGAAAAATGACAGTGGCAATCCATTTAACAGAATGCTGAATGATGCGACAACATGCAATGCACGATGCTACCTTGCGAAGAAGCTGCATGCAAAGATATCGCCTGTCAGATTTACGAGGTCCCCAGTCCCCACTGAATTAACATTAACATTAACATCAGACGCACGTACGAGTTTCCCCGTCCATCTCGACCTCGTGAATGGATCTCGTTACCTCACAGATTCAACGCTCAGCTTCCCCTTTTGGCACTTCGCCAGATAAGCTTGCAAACAAGGTTCTTTTTCTACACGTTTGCGGGGGAACTTTATTTATTATGTAAAAGTTCATCACCACCAACCATACCTTACCCAACCGTTTCTTTACTAAGATATTCACCTTCGCGTTTAATAAACCTGCCAAGAACCTACACGCGCGTGGCGTCGGAACTTTTGACGCTGCTCAGCGGCCCCACGGACTTTTGGAACCCGCCAAGATAGACACCCCTGCAGTGAGATCCGGCCAGAAGTTCCCAGTGCAGAGGACCCTTTGCTTAGCGCCTCGGGCTCTTTTTTTCTTTCTCCACTGGAGTTCTCCAATTTATCGAGTAATGAAAGCGTCTCCCCCAGATTCTTATGGTGCAAGATACAGTTGAGATATCGTGATTGATACCTTGTTAATATCTCGTAATTGAGATGCGAAATGCGGGTTAATTGCTCTCAAGGCTATTGCAGAGCCGCAGCCAAGACTGCATGTCATGTGTTTTTGACAGGGCCAAGACGGGTCGGGTACGATAGGCCATTTTCTCGGCGCCGAGTGATAATTCTCCGTTTGGAATCGCACGCATGTCACTTGGCGTTCGGGTCTCGGATTTAAATTCATGATGCATTTCTTGGCCATCATGTCTTGGCGCTATCAATCTGTCAATCACGAATGCTACTGAATAGGCAGGTCTGTTCCAACTCTCATCTCAGACCTGTCTTATGATTAACTACGGAATGCTCACTACACATGTCAGCACCCTTTCTTCCCCATCAAATCACAAACCTGTCTCCATCCAGGAACTGCTCACCCCGGCTCCACCCTTATCCCGATGGGTAAAATGATCCGCTCGCTGCCCTGTCAAATAAACAGCTTCTCGACGGTCGGCCGCGATCATGGTCGGACTCAGCGCGTGATAAGTGGCTCTAGAAGGGGAGATCGACGACGTATGCCTTATCGCGGATGTCAGGTTGCATTTCCTAGCCCTACCGCATGGTCTGATTCTGGCTATCACCGAGCTTTGCTTTCTCGATCTGGTTCTGAAGATCTTGATTAGCCTATTGAAGCTTGCCACTTATCTGTCACATCACCCTATCGCGATC